TCAATCAAAAAAAAAACAAAATATATATATACATATATATTATATATTATATATAATTATAATAATAAAAAATATGTTTCAATTAATAAAACGTGAAATTTATCTATTAGTAATCTTCAACTTGCTTAACAGATAGGAAAATTTATATCTTCAGCTTATAACTAAAATTATAATGAGAGTGAATTTCTACTTAACATACAACTTTACACTTTTCATTGATTTTATCCACTCAGGACTTAAGCAAAGCCAAAACAATCTAGGACATATTTCGACCATTTCAACATATTTGAACGACGCTCATAAGCCCACCGCAATTAAGCTGCTTAGCCAGCAGACTTCCCCCTTCCCTTCGTAACTACCATCCCCTTTATCTTAAAAGTAGAAAGTGTTAGCCGAGTTTTTGCCAACTACTTTTGCCACATTCTTTTGTGTCCTGCCAAGCAAAGCGAGCATTTTTGCAATCAAATGCATTCCTTGCGCGCACTTCATTAGTGTCGCCAAGCAAAATTTACATCGCGTATGCAAGATAAAATGACAACATTTTAATTAAGACGCAAAACAGAGATAGAGAGAGAGAGGGAGAGAGAGAGAGAGAGAGAGAGAGAGAGAGAGAAAGAGAGAGAGGAAAAGGGGTACAACGCATTCAGTCATGCTTTATGATATAGAAAATTATTTGTGACAACAATTTTATAATCTGTCGCACACATTTATGACGGACAGACAGTTGTCATGGGCGCTGACAGGATAGGGTTACGGAATGGAATGACAGCGGAACCTTTGGAGGAGGGGGAGTAAAAGGTTACAGGTCACGACCACAGGAATGAACGTTGACAAATGTCAACGAATGCCAACAGGCAAAATTAGAGAAAGTCGAGCATGCCACATAAATTGTAAAGCTGCAAAAAAAAGTGAGAAAAAAAACAAGAAATGAGTGAAAAAAATAAAATAAGTATAGAGAGGAAAAGGGAAACAAATTGCTCTTTGGAGCAGTGGTGGCACGTGTCACCAGGCAGCAAGAGCCGTTAGGGAAGTGGTTGCCTATGGACCAGCGCCATGACAACCACACAACTGGCAACTGTTGCAGCTGCTGTTGCTCTCCGGGGTGGGGGGCGTGGCACATATAAATAACAACATTGCGAAGGCGTTTGCACTGTGGGCTACTGAAATATTGCCAACAATTTAGGTGAAAAAGACCACAGTTCTTGCACTTGTATGTTGCAAGTTACTCAAGTACAAATTGTACTCGAAGTGCAATCTTAAGTAAGTAAGTGAATATGTTTCCCATTTCCTAATTGAGGGTTATGCAATCGAAGGAGCTAACATATATTAAATTATTTAACTGTCTCTTATTTTAGTATAGAATATAATACTTGTATGACAACCAATCGTCATTTAAACCTGGAAAATAAAACTCAGTTTAGGCGTAAATCAATTCAAATGATTAAATTGAACATGTACTTATAAATTAAAAATAAAACCCTGGATTATTACTTTCAGCTTGACGTAAGCAAACTCTGAGCCAAAATTAAAAAAACAAATTCAAACCACCTTTGGGTTATTTTTAAACACGTGCATAATAATAATTGTTATTTACAAAAATAGCACACACAAACTGAACAATAGATTGATATGTTTACAATTAGCATCTGTTCTGAAGTGTTTTCGTTAATTTCCAACCATTTCTTCTATATAAGCACTAGCTAATCCAAAGAAGACAAGTCAGTCTGTGTTACTGCTTGACTGCTTGTCGACGAAAATAAAATGCGTATCTCGATTCTTATTGTGCTTGTTGCATTGGTGGCTATCGCTGCCGCTCAAGGTCAACGAGGAGGACAGCGAGGAGGACAGCGAGGGGGACAGCGAGGAGGACAGCGAGGTGGACGAGGAGGGTCACAAGGTGGCCAAAGAGGTGCCCAAGGACGTTCCCGGGGTAGGAGCCAAGGTGGACGAGGGGGCTCACAAGGTGGCCAAGGAGGTCGGCAGGGTGGCCCTCCAGGTGGACAAGGCGGTCCTCAAGGTGGACGAGGAGGTCCTCAAGGAGGTCCGCCAGATGGACGAGGAGGTCGTCAGGATAGGCCGCAAGGTGGACGTGGAGGTCCCCAGGATAGGCAGCAAGGTGGACGTGGAGGTCCCCAGGATAGGCAGCAAGGTGGACGTGGAGGTCCCCAGGATAGGCAGCAAGGTGGACGTGGAGGTCCCCAGGATAGGCCACAAGGTGGACGTGGAGGTTCCCAGGATAGGCCGCAAGGTGGACGTGGAGGTCCCCAGGATAGGCCGCAAGGTGGACGTGGAGGTCCCCAGGATAGGCCGCAAGGTGGACGTGGAGGTCCCCAGGATAGGCCGCAAGGTGGACGTGGAGGTCCCCAGGATAGGCCGCAAGGTGGACGTGGAGGTCCCCAGGATAGGCCGCAAGAACGCCCTCAAGAAGACTTCGAGGACGGCTCGAATGAGGATTATAACTACGATTTTGATGGCCAAGAAGGTGGACGAGGAGGTCCCGAAGGTGACTCGCAAGGTGGACGTGGAGGTCCCCAGGATAGGCCGCAAGAACCCCCTCAAGGTGGACGAGGAGGCCCTCAAGAAGGAGGCAACCAGGATGATGATTACAACGACGACTATTGAGTGTATCAATTGACAATTATTAGATAAACTCTTTTCGCTAATAAAAATTTCTATCACACTGTTTCTGATTTATAAAAAAAAATCCAATGTATCCTTTTTTAAACTTAAAAATTCGAAGTATCTAGCTCTTATAGAGTCTGAGATCCATTTGTTTAAATGGACAGACGGTCGCATATGCCTATATCAACTCGGCTGTTGGTCCTAATCAAAAACATATATATCCCATATGAAGTCGAAATTGCTTTCTTCTGACAGTTAAAAACATTTGCAGAATACCATTTGTAGCAGGTCACTGGAACCGTTGTACAAAGACTGTAATGTAAAAGCTATAAAATAATATGCAATTATGTACGATATAATAATTATAATTATGTATATAATATCACTCATTTTCAATGGGTCAAGGTATACAAATATGTATTTGAAAAGAAACCCTACAATACATCTGAGGACAAGTAAGAAAGAGCAGGTTGAGAGAGATCGACTAAGGGATGCCATGAACTCAGTTGAAACCCAGTTTTCTGGCTGAAACTGCCATGAAAATACACATTGAGCACTATTTTCTTATCCAATTGCATGCTTGGCCAACTCTTCAATCTCTAGATTTATTTATATATATATCATATGTGAATCGCAACAACACATTAAATTTAGTATTTATCCAATATTTTAAACGTTAAATCGGTTTTAGGTTTTAGGCAAAACTGGGAAAATCATTAGGTTTAATTAACTACTTTTGATAACTTTGCGGCTGAATTTATACTCTTACGTAATGATTCAAGTATGACGAAAAATAAACTTTGAGCTTAAATTCAAAAACAAATTTAAAACACCTTTGGGTTATTTTTAAAAACGTGCAGAATAATAATTGTTATATACAAATAAGTATACACAAACTGAACAATAGAATGAAATGTTTACAATTAGCATCTGTTATGAAGTGTTTGCGTCAATTTCGAACCATTTCTTCTATATAAGAACTAGCTTATCCAAAGAAGACAAATCAGTCTGTGTCAATACTTGAGTCGAAGAAGAGAATAAAATGCGTATCTCAGTCCTTATTGTGCTAGTTGGATTGGTGGCAATCGCTGCCGCTCAAGGTCCCAGAAAAGGATCTGGTGGCCAGCGAGGTGGCCAAGGCGGACAAGGTGGAAAAGGAGGCTCCCAAGGAGGCCAGCAAGGCACACAAGGTAATCAACGTGGCCAAGGAGGTTCCCGAGGAGGCCAGCAAGGTGGACAAGGAAGACAAGGTGGTCAAGGAGGTTCCCAAGGAGGCCAGAAAGGTGGACAAGGAGGACAAGGTGGTCAAGATGGCCAAGGGAGTTCCCGAGGAGGCCAGCAAGGTGGACAAGGAGGTTCCCGAGGAGGCCAGCAAGGTGGACAAGGAGGACAAGGTGGACAAGGTGGCCAAGGGGGTTCCCGAGGAGGCCAGCAAGGTGGACAAGGAGGACAAGGTAGCCAAGGAGGTTCCCAAGGAGGCCAGCAAGGTGAACAAGGAGGACAAGGTGGGCAAGGAGGCCAGCAAGGTGAACAAGCAGGTTCCCAAGGAGGCCAACAAGGTGGACAAGGAGGACAAGGTGGCCAAGATGGCCAAGGGGGTTCCCGAGGAGGCCAGCAAGGTGGACAAGGAGGTTCCCAAGGAGGCCAGCAAGGTGGACAAGGAGGTTCCCGAGGAGGCAAGCAAGGTGGACAAGGAGGTTCCCGAGGAGGCCAGCAAGGTGGACAAGGAGGACAAGGTAGCCAAGGTGGCCAAGGGGGTTCCCGAGGAGGCCAGCAAGGTGGACAAGGAGGCTCCCAGGGTGGTCGAAGAGGATAAATGATCAGAAAGGATCTCGGACGAGATAAATGCGCAAAAGCTTTGTCACGAATTTTAATTCCAAGGACATAATATAAATCTAAAAATCACAGCTTCCAATTAAAGCATGCAAAGAATTTATATTCAATTTACTCACGACCTAGTTAGAATGAGAATTTAATTATTTGAATAGCTTTAGCAGAAAATGCACCGATTTTATTGATGCAATTTCCTAGTTTTCTGCTTTCCTACTTTCCTCATAAAATAAGCTATAATTGAAATCTGGTTTGTTTGAATAAACATTTTTCAATGCGCTGAACAAAGAATGGCGAGTGTTGCAAACAAAAAGGAAAGGCAAAAGAAAAGCGATTTAACAGAAAATGAATTACGCCCCGTTGCACACACATTCCATTCTTGTCCATTCGGACACATTCGGGGGAGAAAAATGAAAAAGAAGATTTGTTGAAGCTGTTTTGATAACTCGATACACATTTACAGGCGGCAAATTTGATATTGATAATATAATCCCATTTCCCATTGACCATTGCCCTGCCCCTGCCCCTGCCCAAACCCAAATACTTACCGCATTTAGGAGCATGGAGAAGAGCAGCAGTAGCCACTTGCTTCTCGGTGCAGTATTGTGCACGTCCTGCATATTGCCCTGGTACGAAACTACACTCCTGTTTGATTAGCACGCAGTGCAATGTTGAAATTCACGCACAAACCACGCACACAGCACACTCAGAAATTCAAAATTCTTGCTCGAAAGTATGCAATGATTTTTCAGTACAGCACAATACAATGACTCTCAAACTGTTGTATGTTGAGAACGGATTTGTTGAATGCCGCTGCTTGGCTTCTCTCTCTCTCTCTCTCTATCTGTGGCACGTACGCAAGCAAGTCTTTCGTTAGACTGTATCCTGTTTGCCAGGACACTCGCCTATTTATACGGCAAGCAGTTCGTTACGAACGCACGGATAACACCAAATTGCCGAGCATGGCGCTCTCAGGAGAGTTTCTTTTTGCGAGTAATGCGAGTCGGATAGGAAGTTACTACATCAAACTGTTGCTAGTCTCAGCTCCCATTTCAGGCTAAATTGTATGACATGTATGTGTTTGTGTGTGTGTGTGTGCGTGTGTGTGCTTGGCCTGTTTGTGGGTAGCTTGTGTATGTAGGTAATGACGTCATAGCAGCTCGCACAGCAGCCCCATGTGTGACTTGTCGTCATATTGAGGCCAAGCGTGCAGCACAGTGTAACAAAAACCATCAACCAAAATCAGAATATATTAAATGTTTAAATGATTTAATGTATAGGAATGTACCTCATGAAAAAAGTGTTAATAATATTTATTTGGTTCTGTAATGCTAATATAAAGATTAATTACATCGCTTCCTGAAACTGGTTCTGAAATAATATTTTACAATTTTCGGGATTTTAAATTTTAACCTGTAAAAGTACAGATCCCGTTCCCGTTTGACAGCCTGAATAAAATGTGTGGCTGTAGTGTGTAGTAATAATAATATATATACGAGTATAATATAAATTATATAATTGACTTTAGGCTCCGCACTTTTATACCACTGTACAGCAGTACTCTTTGCGGCCATACGAAGAGCGTCGAATGTCAATTCTCTCCGGCGTGCCTCGTTATCCACACCCACAGCCACATAGCCATCCATATAAATGCCTCTCTCTCTCTCTTTCACTCTCTGAGGTGTCGTTAGTTATCCAACCAGTCGGAGCCAGAGCACTTGCGCAACGTTGCTCGCTGCTCGCTCAATTAAAAGTGAAATTTGAGTTACTCATACGCAGCGTGACACAGCGGAAACAAAGGGTAAGAGGGTAGAGATGGGTGGAGAATGGACACAGACAAAGCAGCTATCTAGTGCAACATGCTACATGGAGGCGTCATAAACTTTTCAAATACGACACTTTGTCAATTATATTAAATGACTTTGGTTTTCTGTTACTTTTCGGTTTTATCTTTCATTTAAATATTAAAAGTCCAGTAAAATAATTGCATTTAAAATTTAATTTTTATTTGTAATCCTTGACTTTTAAAGTATTGTTAAAACTAAAATTTTCGATAAAATACACATTGAATATTTTGATTTTTATTTGTAGCCTTGCTCAACTGTAGATTTTGTTTTATCTTGCATTATGGCATATCTATCGGCTCGCAATGCATTTTTCATCACATATCAAGCATTTGATTATATGTTTAGCTTTGGATATATACTTTTAATATGTTTTCTGTAAGTTACAGTTCAATGAAATAGGCAAATAGGGAGAATTTTGGGTTCCACTAACTTCATTAGCTTCTAATAGTCTGGCAGTTTTATTTATGAGTGATTCAAATATGAGTGAAAAAGAAACTCTGAGCAAAAAATAAAGAATAAATTCAAACCACCTGAGTAATTGGGTTGTTTTTAACCACGCGTAGAAAAAGTATTGTTATATATATATAAAGAGAGATACACAAACTGAACAATAGAATGTGATGTGTGCAGTTTGTAGTGTTTTCGTTAATTTCCAACCATTTCTTCTATATAAGCACTAGCTAATCCAAAGAAGACAAGTCAGTCTATGTTACTGCTTGACTGCTTGTCGAAGAAAATAAAATGCGTATCTCAATTTTTATTGTGCTTGTTACGTTGGTCGCCATCACTGCCGCACATCTTCCCCAACTGCGAGAAGTACTGAGAGGCGGACGGGGAGGGTCTCAAGGAGGTTCTCAAGGAGGTTTCCAGAATGGTCGAAGAGGTACCCAAGGAGGTTTCCAGGATGGTCGAGGAGGGTCTCAAGGAGGTTTTCAGAATGGTCGAGGAGGTTCTCAAGGAGGTTTCCAGGGTGGACGAGCTAGTGCCCAAGCAAGTTCTCAAGCAAGTTCTCAAGCAGGTTTCCAGAGCGGTCTGAGTGGCACACAAGGTGGACGAGGTGGTGATCAAAGGCGAAGAGGTACACAGGGAGGCTTCCAGAATGGCGTGAATGGGGATTACATCAACAACATTGGTGACCTGCAAGGTGGAAGAGGAACTTCACTAGGAGGTTCCCAAGGAGGTTTCCCAGGTGGAAGAGGAGATACTCAAGACGGTTCCCAGGGTGGGCAAGCAAGTGCTCAAGCAAATTCTCAAGCAAGTTCTCAAGCAGGTTTCCAGAGCGGTCTGAGTGGCACACAAGGCGGACGAGGTGGTGTTCAAAGGCGAAGAGGTACACAAGGAGGCTTCCAGAATGGCCTGAATGGGAATTACATCAACAACATCGGTGGCCTGCAAGGTGAAAGAGGAAGTTCTCAAGGAGTTATTCGGGGCGGCCAAGGAGGATTTCCGGGTGGTCAGCAAGGTGTACGAAGTGGTTCACAAGGAGGCTTCCAAAATGGTTTGAATGAAGGTTATACCATCGGCTTTGGTAGACGAGGAAACTCTCGAGGATTTGTCCAGAGTGGACGAGGAGGTGCCCAAGGAAGTTTCTAGAGTGGCAAGCAATACGGATTACAGCGACGACAACTTCGAGTGAATCTATTACTATCTAACTTTCGAAAAACCCTTTTAACTAATAAAAATTTGCATCATACTATTTCCGATTGGTGGCATTTCGTTATTGTTACAGCAAAAACCAGTATGCCTACATCAACCCTCAAGCAGGGTAAGCCGAGTGCTCACGGGGATGTCAATGTGAATCACAAAAGCAATAAATAACCTGCAATGGACACGAATGCATTATCCCAACTGCTGCTGGCCACACACTTGTCTCTTATCCTAATAACTTAAAAGGGACACAAAGTGTCAGCTAAATTAATGCAAATGGATAAAAAATGAATAAAATTATGAAGCGTAAAAAGCGTCAGAGTAGCTGCATGCATATTGCACAAAGTGCAGCTCGAGTTCATTAATATGCACAGAGAATGAGTCACGCCTCAATGCAGTTAACAGATTGCACGCCGATATGCATAAAGGTCTGCAAAAAGCTGGAAAAAGCCGGCACCAGTTAACAATTTCAGTTAACACACAGACACACACACACATAACACATCAATGCCCAGAGCCGTGAAAAGGGTTGCAGTTTTGCTTTTGTTTCAGTTTAGCGATGCATACAATTTTGTTTAGACCAGCGCCAGCCGAGCAGAGCGACTGCCCATGTCATCGATGCACCCCATCCTCACCCAACCTGCACCCAATCCTTTCCAGCAGCACCAACGGAATTTCAAAATATATGCAGATTATTCTGTGGCGATAAATGTGCTGAAATTGTTTTCAATGTATGCATAAAGTCAATGGCAAATGCAACAAACGCATATTTAATTAATTCCAACTGTGTTTGCAAACGTATTTTTTAGACTCAATTAACATACAGCAATGAAATCAGTAATAAATAAACAAACAATTAACAAAAGCATAAGGCCAATTCCCAAAAGCGAACAAATATTTTGAACAATTTCATGAATTAAAGATTATTTAAGGTTACCAGCTGCAATCATAACATAAAGTTATTCGGTAGTGGAAATAAACGGCTCACTAACATCTTAAAATGGAAGCGCATATCAAATGTTGCTCGTTTAGAAAAGCCAGACTTGCAAAGAAAATAAACTCTACAAAAACTGCCTTTTGGCAACTCAACTTCGCGATTTGGATAGCAACATTGACCATATAATGAGAACTGGACGCTCTCTCAGCACGAGTTCAGAGGGTAATCAACTTTTGAGCGTTGTGTTTCGCTGACCGCCCCAAAAGTGGTTCAGCATTCAGATTGCAATAGTAAATGTGAAACGTGCCACGGGCTCTTGGCCATAACACTGAACAGCAGCCACGCCCAATTGCTAACGCCCCCCAACAACAAGCAACAGCAGTTCAATTGCCATCAGCTGGGAACCCGTTTAGACATCGGCATCGCCATCGACTTCAAAATGTGGTCACGCTTTAAAAATATATTTCGCTCTCACAAAGAAAAAATTCAACAAAATATGTTTTCTAACGCAAAACTAAAAAAAAAAATTGTTTAAAAGTGCTTTAGTTGAAAGAGTTCTGCTTAGAAATACCCTACACCCAAGTCTTTAGCCAATTATAAGTATTACGCAGAAAATGCTGAAAATCCTTTTATATTTGTGTTTCTCAACCCATCTTACAGATGATCAATATTATGTCAAAGTATATACATACATCTACTATATATCAACCTATATCTTTAAAAGAGTGGGTTTTATTGCGTTTGGATGTTGATTCATAGGGTATCGGCAAACTTGATCTTCCTTTGATAACGAGAACTTATATATAAAATTTGAACTAACATCTATAGCCGCTGGGATCAGCTTGTTAATACAACCTAACAGACTCAATCGACTCAACTGAAAAAATTTCGGAGATCCTTCCTACTGCCTTTCATCCATTATTTTGCACAACTTCATTATACCCTGTACACCCAATTTTCAATGGGTTCGGTGCATATAAATATAAAACAAAATAAATTGACATGTAATAAAAAATCGTGGTAATACTTAACCGCGTTAACGTACACACCTACACACACACACATACATACATGCACACAGACGTGCTTTGCATAATAATCGAGGAGAAAAAAAAAGCAGTCAACACCAGTCGCAGACAGTGTGGCAGTTCCATTCGCTAATTTGCTATTTAAATCAAAAGAGAGCCACATAACAAATACGAAAAATAATTCAGCCCGTTGGCAATTAAAGTGGCTTAAAAAGCCGGTCTAAACAATCTGTTCGTTAAGCTGGCCGTGAAGTCAATGTGAGTAATAGACAACTTCTGCGGCAGGCTTATCCGCCAGCATATCAGCTGGATAAATACGTACGTGTTTTCGCGGCCAACAAAAGAAATAAATAAAATATAATAGAAGAAAATTGAACAATTGCAGGTGTTGTAATTGGACAATAAATGTGTGGCTAATGCCGCATTGTGTCGTGCATAAATCATAGTTAGCAAAGTTATTTGGTGTCTGAAGAGAACGCTTAAAGTGTCGGCCTAGCTTCAGGTTCAAGCTGTGCTTCTTGATAAAGAAAACATACAAAAGAATTTCCAAGTTGGAAAGTTAACTGACTATGTGAATTTTAATTTTTGGCAGTTTCTCATCTCAGTCAAGCCTCTAGGCTAATATATTTACTTCAATCACAGCCGAATTGTGGCTGCCTCTTTCGTGTTCGACACAAACCCATCCATCAATCTGCATTCAACTAATGAATGTCAAGTTCTGTAAAATACAAGGCAAACGATTGTTTACATAACATATCAAAGCATATCAAATACAGCAATTTAATATCAACTGGCTGCTAGAAACTCGTTTGCTGTATATGTTTAAAATCGATGCTAATTCACTTAACAAGTTTAGATAGCTGATTATTGCTTGAATGATTGAGCAAACCAAATAAAACGGTAAAGTACAGTGCATGAAAAGAATGTTAAAATCAAAGGCTAACCATTAAAATTAAAGTGTTTGAAATTATGAAAAGTACAGAAGGTTGTTCAGCTGCCAATTGTTAAAATATATAATTATATAAAGGTCAACACTGGATTTCAATTAATGTCAATTTACAAGCTTTATTTGTTTTTTTTTTTACTTTTAAACGAAAATATAGTTCTCAGAGATTCTTTGCGTTTGGATTTCCAATTTTCAAAAAAGAGATTTGAAAGTAAAATACATAAATGAGTATGCTTAACTTAACGGGACAATTCGAGCAAAATATAGCTAAAGTTAGGCGTCAGGCAGAAAAGAAAATAACTATTCACTAATTTACATATTTGGAGTGTGTTTCACTTATATATATATATATATATATATATATATATATATTATAAAATACATACATATATATATGTATATATAAACTTATGTTTTACATAGATTTTACATTTTAGACATATACATTATATCGTAGAACGTATATATTATATTAATATATATATATATCAACCCTATAAATCATCGCCAGATCATTCAATTAATTATTTTACTACAGTTTATTGTGAATGCGCTTAACGAAACTACTATCCAATAAAAAAATGAAGAAGCTCAAAATGAGAAAAAAAGAAAAAACTATGCAAAGCAGTTTATAAAAATTTGGAATATATATATATATATATTTATATATATGTATATATATATTTATTGATGTGTGTATACATAGATATATATATATGTACTTTTGATTCATTTCCTTTTGTGAGGGCAAAGTTTAGGAATGTTTTGTGTTTCGCTTAAAATTCAATTTGCTTTTGCTATATATATGTATACATATATATATATTGTAGAAGAAGAAGCAGCCATAGGGGGACAAGTATAAAAATATCAACTTTTGTTTTTTGCCTCTAACACTCAAAATGAACACCCACACACAATTCTCTCAAAGACGGGTACAACAGGTACAACAACAACAATTAAACGCTATGCTAATTGGGAGACCCTTTGCTTTGGCCCCGGCCATCGATTCCCCATCTACAGATTTAATAGCGTCAATGTGAATGTGGCTGCTGCAACAGCGAGTCTAGTCGCCAAATTCTTGTTGTTGCTACCGCCGCCGCTGTTGTCGGCCATGCCACCGAAGCCAGCGAGCGCTGCATCCTTGCTGGACATATTCTCGGGCGCATCACTCGAGCCGATCTCATTATTATTGGTTGCCGTCGAATCGCTGAGCGTCTTTTCCAGCGAATCGGGCCCAGAATGTTGTTCACCCAAATGCTCCAAGCGGACCAACGGTGGCTCATTGATGGGCGTCGGTTCATTGGTGCTGGTGCTTGTCGTAGTTGGATTTGTCGTCGTCGATGTGGTTGATGTTGTGGTTGTTGTCGGCACCATTGTACCATTCTCAATCCAATATACGGGACTGAATTCCATTTTCACATCCTTCAAGTATTTTTTGGTAACCTGGCAAGAAAATAAGATCAGTTGTGGAACCTCTATATTTATAATTTTAAGAAATACTTACCTCTGCGCTAATATTGCGCGAGACGCTCTCGCTGTCATCGTAGAAGGCCGACAACTTGGCTGTGTAGGGTGCATAGAGGGTCACATAGTTGCCACGCAGTGTCACATTGATGGCCGTGCCCGGCCAGAGTTTACTGTAGACGGCCTTGTTCTCGTGCCGTTTCTCACCACGCTTCAATGCCCAATGGATCTCCGTCGGTGTTTCAACATTCTTCTCAAAGACCTTGGTTTGTAGTCCTTTGGCAACGCCCTCATGCGAACCCCAATATTGTATCGTATCGAAACTGTAGCTCATCACCTTCTCCATGGTGTCGTAGGTGTCGCCACGATTCTCCAGTATGCCATTTGCTTTTGAATGTAGAAAATTGCATTAATTGTGGCAATCACGTTGAAAATTGTAATTTAAAATTCGAGTTAGGCTTGTGTCGCTTATTCTTTTTATTTTATTTGATTTTTATTATTAATTTTTTTTTTTGTTAAGAAAGTGAATTTCTAAATTTTAAGGTTTTCATTTCATCTTAAATAGAAATATTTTTTCTAAAATTCTGGTCAATTTTTGTTTTCCAATATGGAATACGCTCTTTGGCTTACCCAGTTCAGTGATGTTCTCGGTTAGAGAGGTGCGCAGGCTATCGAGCTTGATGCCGCGCAGCTCATATCTAATGGGCTCCGTTTCGACGAGTACTTCACCGTCCTCATAGGTCTTTTCGTGCTCGTTTTCAACGACCTTGATCTTGCCGAGCCCAAACACATCCAGTCTGCCCAGATTGTAGTCAGCACCGTGATGCGATGTCGTCAGCTGAGTGCCATCGGCAGTCGGCGGATTGTGGACAGTGGCCCGATGGCGAGCAATGTAGGATTCATCGGCAATGCGAATGGCGCCGATGGGCACACCAATATTATATTTGCGCCAACGTTTCCAGGCAATCTTGCCCAAATGCCCCTTGTTCAGGAGCACATCGAAGTTCGCATTGATGCTGTGTTTGTAGAGGGCGGCGACGCAGACGTGACGCTGCTGCCGCTTCTCGGTGTGACCAGAGGTGGGCACACCATCGATGGTCACTCGACACACATAGATCGGATAGTGTTCGTCCTCCGTCAGATATTTGCCACCCTCGACAGCCGATTGCAACTGATTGGCACTATTTGGATCGTAGGTCTCCCACACCAGCGTGTCCGACGTCACTAGTTGACCCAGCTGCGTGGAGGCGTTCTTGTATGTGAACACGGGATGCACATGTGCCCCAATCGGTGTGGCCAGCTGCAGCAGCAATCCCAACAGCATGCATCCAATCAGCATCAGCGGTGATGAACTTTGTCTTCTGTTCATATTCATTTTTTTTATTTTTCTTTTCTTGTGCCCAAATGAGTCGAGGAAATTTCTGCAAGTGTAGAGAAAAAGCAGCAAGGGATTAGTGATTAAGTTGGGGAGTAGACAAGGTAAATTAAAGCTCTAAAATCTTCACTTAAAAATGTCCATGTATAAAATAGTGGAAATACTGCTTATACTGCTCACTGTACACCACTACATATTGCACCAATAGCAGCTAAAACTTTTCCTTCATCTCATGAGAGGAAATAGAATTGAACACCCAGTCAAAATAACTCCTTGATAGTCTCCCCCCTCTAAGCCAAATTGTGCTTCAGCTGACATCTGCTTACGCTAAACTCGGTTTGGTTAAGTGCCGCTAGCAACCAGTAAAACCGCCGACAGTACTGTACACACACACTCCCACACACGCAGACAGGCAACTCCCTTGCTATACTGACGTCAACAACTCTGGCCGGAAGTTCGCTTGGTCGCCTTCTGCTCCATTTGCAAACACAAATTTGCAGCGGCGTCTGCCATTAAAAGCTTAAATGGGATAAACAATGCCTGGCACTGGCCAAAGATGTAACGGAACCGCATGGCAAATTCCCCAAATAAAAAACATAAATTCATTAAGTGGTAGGGGTTGTGTGGGCAGGGATGGAGGGAGTGGGAGGCGTGTTTCAACAGTTTACAACAAGCGACCACCGGACGACGACGACGTTGATCATTAGAGGCGTCAATGTCACAGACACAGACACGCTCATGTCCACTTCAGACTGGCCATGGGTGAGGAGGAAGGAGAGGAGATGGAACACAACATGAAACATCGAGTCGTTTGGCCCTGGGAGACAATTTTCGATGATGTTCGCTGTTGGCTTTCCCAATAAATTTGCCGCTTGTTGTTTGCGCAACTTCATCGCTGACGACACATGGCGTGTACTCAACTTGGGGATAAACAATATGCGGCAAGAGCAGTTCCTTGGCATGGCAAAGCCCAAAACCAAAACAAAATACACTAAGACAAACGGAAAACGCCATATTTTAGTTCTTACTAATAAAAAACATATGTGAACAAAAAAACAAATGAAACCTTTCTAATTTAAAGAATTTTCTTTTTATTTAGAAATTATTTCTTATAAATATAACAAACACATTATTAGGAGCATAGAAATACTCGCAGTCATTCTAAACTTCACTGTAAGTGCTTCTAAAACATAAGTTTGCTTTAGGACAGTGCAACAAATATGGTGCAAGCACCGAAGCCAAAATATATATTTTTTATTTTTATGTTCATTTTTGATTTGATAAACTGCGCAACAATAGCAAAGTAGCCTTAATAAAAAAAAAGAGTACAAGGCAAAAGCTAAAGCGGAAGTGCCGGCGACGCCATGTATATTCATTAGCAGCCATTGTCAACCAGGCAACTTGTGTGTCTTTTGTGTGGGTCCTGCGTGAGTGTTGTATCCTGCTGTTGTCCATTGGGTAGCAAGTTGCCGTCTAAGGTTTGTATTCGTCTCCTGTCCGTCTGCTGTCCATTTTCTCTGGTGTCTGTTGGCTTTCTCTTTGCCACAACGTCTAACCTAACCTTAGCGCTTGACCTTAGGTGTTGCAACGTAGCCCAACTACTCCCCCCACACCCCTTCCGCACCTAACAACACTCATCAGTGTCCAGCGGCGCTGTCATTGTGTAGTTTGCTCCGTCTGCAACGGATATGAGATGATAAGGTTACATGCAACATCATTTGTTTGCCTTGACAAATGATGTGTTGTTGTGATAGTGTTTCCAAAGCCAACGAGCAGCAAGCGGCAAGCATTGAGCACAACGGGGCATGCAACTTTCGAGTGGAGGGCGTCGTCTCGAGTTCAAGTGACGTGAGTCAAAATTAAAATAATGCAACTGAATTGAGTGTGTGTGTTGTGTGTGTATATAGTGTGAGATGAGTGTGCAGTGAATGCTGCTGTTGCAAAGTGATGGATGACAAAGATATGCCTACTGAAGACTTGAAAGGATTACAGCGATTAGATTAGATGGTTTGATCTAGGAGAGACTGCACAGCACATTTATCTGTCAGGAATCTTTAAACTTCAAAATGGTAAACTATATTGTGAGGGTGGCTTTTTGAAAGGAATAAATATACTTTAAATATATACACTTCATATATCACACAGTTAAATAGAAAAATAATTAAGTAAGGTTTGCTTTGGCGAAATCTGAATTTCACTATAAACTTAAAAAACCGTTAGAAGACCTTACGCAAGAGGAAAAATAGAAATGCTTTGGAAGCCAACTTAAGTAATCCCTTATACTATCAATAAAAATATTATAACCATAGCCTTACTGTAGAATTTTTAAACTTTGATGTGCTCAATGTCAATATACAATAAAAGCAAAAAGTGAAAAAAACGTACACAATTTTTTACTATTCGGATTAACTATACTATTTGAGCACGTATATATTTTTGGGTCATTAAATGAAGTACACATAAAAATATGCCCAAGACACACTTATTAAATGCTAACACACATTTAGACAGTGCACATAAATGAATACGGAAAAAATACAGGTCCTAAATAAGTGACAAAACACAGCAGTTAGTTTGGATGTCACGTACTTATGATTCGAATGTAAACCAAATTGAAATGAATAATCATGATGATGAGCAGATTGAGATGAATATTATTCAGAGTACTCGGTGACCCATTCACTCCATTCACTTCAACTTTTTATAACTATGACTCATAACATTCCAGAAAGTAAGGCACACAAGTTAAATAATTCTCAAGTGCCGACGGCGGAAGTAAATGTCATAAAATCGGATAAAGAGGGAGTAGAGAAAGAGGGTTATATTCTTGTTAAGGAAATAAGAATACATAAATTGACCTCTTGGCTCAAGCGCATAGTTGTTGGCCTGCCATTTTGGCGCAGTGCAATAAAATGTTGCTAAAAATAGCAAGAAGTGAATTAAGGCGCAGCATATTATTAATAAGGCGCAACCAAGCAAGTTACAACAGCAGCAGTATGCGGCATGCATCAGATTGCATTTAATGAATGCTGCTTGCAAAAGAATTCAATTGGGGGCAAAAAAAGAAAATGAAAGAAAAGTCTGAGTTCGACGGCGGTGAAAGTTCACGTTGCCTGCGCTTTATTAAATCAAATGCTTGCAACTTGGCTGCAGGTCGTCGCATAGACTTTAATTTTGGGGCAGGCAGGTTGCCAGACATTGAGATTTACGAGCGGGCGTTGAAAGGTCTGCGGGTCTGTGTCTGGGAGAGGGAGGGGAGGGAATGAGGGTGGCAGTTGCTGCGCCAGTTTAATTGGATTTTATTGAACTTTGACTCTGACCCTCATAGTTGTAACTGCAACAAGTTGCTGCACGCACGCTTACATTGATTATTGTTGTTGTTGCAAGTGCTTATTGCTCATGAGTTATGGATCCGTTATACTGATGATGAGGGCGTGGGAGAGGGGTGAGGAGGGATGGGTTGATTGTCGCGCCTCAATCAACATAATTTGCCACTGTGCGACATTGACACCAAACATGATTCCATTCTCTGCCCACTTCACTTCTCCTCCGCATACTCTACTCTTGCTTTAAGTTCGTGATAGAGTTCAATGCACTTGAGACAATAACAGGCAGTCGAGAGAACTCGACTGGGAGATACCCTGCAGCTACCTAAGAAATAAGGCTTACTGCTGCCAGCTTTACTAGCCAATATCTGTGTTGTGTTACAGCTGCTCAATATTATGTCTGAGTATTTTAGATATCAATTGCAAGGCTATGCAAGGCCATGCACTTATCGATGAAATGAAATACTATCGAGCTTTTTATGGTAAACGAGAATTTATATATATTATAGTATCTAAAATAAATAAATCGACTGGTCTATTAATGCTACATTTTATCTAACATGCTTCCTTCTGCCTGTTACACAATTAAGCACAACTTGATTTTACCCCCTTTCCAATTTTTTATGGAGGGGTAAAAAAATTAATTAGAAACTCATTAAGTGCCATTTTGAGTGGCAACTACGTGATGCCCACCGAGATTTGCCGTGGGAATGTAGCAAAAAAACAATAAAAATTCAAATAAGGACAGAGAGAGAGAGAGAGAGAGAGAGAGAGAGAGGGATAGAGGGTAAGAACACTTGTTGTTTCCAACCCATTTACAGATTAACGACACTCTGTTAATTGATGTAAACCGAAAAGTGACACGAAAAACTTATCTGTGAAAATTCAATGACTTTTTGAGTATCGAGTGCTTGCCATGCAAATGGTGAGGGTTGAATTGTTGTTTTTCTTCTGGTTTCTTTGGCTGGCTTCAACTTTAATTAGGTAATACACCAAAAGCTGGATGAAAACTATTGTTGTTGTAAGTTCTCTCGAGTCGAGTTCAAAAGTCAACATGAAATTAAGTTTCTATTCTTTGTCGAATGAAAACAAATTGCATTGCTGCTTTGTCGAGTTCCACAATATTCTGATTTGAATCTAGAGAGGAAGACAAATACGTTGAGCTTGGTTGTAATTTGTGATTTTAATTGTTAAATAAATGAAACTTATAAAACTCATGTTTAACTAACTTGGCTAACAAAAATGGAATTTATATTTCATCAAAAATATCAATTTAAATTCAAGCATGAGCTTTTTTCTCTTGCTAAATCACAGAAACTAATTACATATACAAATAGTGTTGTGACATTAACAACATGAATGATTTTCCGTACTTATTCAACTGTTTCGAGCAGCGCTTTCAATCATATATAATGAATACTTATTCAACTGTTTCCAGCTGCGATTTCTCAACTAAAACCGATTGAGCAATTGTCTCGCTGGACTACTCCACTTTGAAAAGCTAAGTAAGTAAAAACACTCTCAAATTATTCAATGCTGGATAATTATTGAAAAATGTGCATCCGCAGTCTATTAAAAAATAAATGTTTTTCAATTCAATTTAATTGATAGATAGTTTTTCCAGCTGGTTTTCGCTCGTTTCCTCAATTATTTAAGCAGGCCAAAACGACGAAAGCAAAATCGGCTCGATTGTGTGATAATTGGGCTTGAATATGAATTAAGTTGCTTATTGAGTTTCGCAATGACGTCATGAGTAATTTTCGTCGTTTGTTGTTGCAAAATGTGGGGGACTTGAAAATCACCCTTGTGACAGTAATTACTGTACCCCTTGAGGCTGGGCTGCTGTACACAAATCAGAACCAGTTTTTAGCGCTAGACGGGGTTTTGCAATTGACCATTTGGATTTGCAATTTGCTGATAACAGGTGACGATGTTGTCATCACGACGCCTTCAACTCCCCCTCCTTCCCCTACCGCTCCTCCACGCCCACGCTAATTGTCCAATCGATTCCTTATGCAACAGTTGCACAACCAAACCCCGATTTCCAATCCCAACCCGAGGCAACAAACCAAAGCCAAAGCCACTGCGGCATTTTGTCTAATTTTTTTTTTAGCGGCAGCATAATTAAAGAAAAATGAGAAACAAAAGAGAACCGCAATCTGAGGCAAGCCGAAAATTCTATACTCTTTTGAAGACAGGTAAATTACTTTGTTCCTATGAAAGCTATATATTATAGTTGTCCGATGTAGATGATTTTTTGCACAAGTGTGAAAAGCTTAATTAAGCGCATTCAAACCAGAACTCAGCTTTTAACCGACCCTTCTTATAAGATATAATATTCTGATCCGTTCCGACATATGTACTGTCTGCAGCAAAGGGACGAATATGTGTCAAGTTCCATCAGATAAATGCTAAACTAACAGACCAGTTCAGGCAGATGATCGAACTAGGCTATATTGAATCTATTCTTCTTCTACAAGCTTACGAGCTTGAAGATGTCTGCCTCAATGCGTCTCAGACTACACGACAATAATGTAATACCCTCTACAAATTATTAAAAATTACTGCACTGTTTTGGCTGTTGCTCTTTTTTCTTTTTGTTTTTGGCCGAAACAGTTGTTAACTTAATTAGAGTGCACGGAGCCAAAATGTAACAAGAGCTAAGCAGCCAAAACAGAACTCGAGGACTAAGCTTTGATGACTATTCAAAATGCCCTACAATCACTTTGAAATAAATATATTTAAATAAAAATAAAAATATGCTACACATAATTCATTTTATTTAATATATAATTTAGTTAATTTTTATTATATTTATTATTTTTTTATTTCCTTTAATATTTATTTAATCTCATTTCTTATTATATTTTGTATTTAATTTTAAATTTTTTTTTATTAAAACCTTTTGTTTAAATTGTGAACGGTTTTTATTCCACCTTAAAATATATATATATATATATTTATTCAAATCTAGATTTTGGTTTAAACCTTTCTCTCTTGACACACCTTGTTTTCTTCTTCTTCTGGCCACTTATCGTTGCTTGTTTGTTGGCCATCAGCAGAAAATAGCAATTAAATATTGTGCCACATGTGGTCTCTCCTCATAATAGTTTATACAAATGGTTTATTTACTTTTCAGTATACTATTGTTGTTATTCTTGCTTACAGCTTTACCTGTCAATCAATTTTTGTGCATTAGTCACGATTTTTTATTTCTTAAGGTTTTCTTATTTGAATTACTGAATTTTTGTGATCTATTGGAAAAAACATCGTTGATATTTGAACAGCTGAGAGCGCCACGAATACGAATGCAAGCCGGCAAAACAATTCGGCACTCCCCATTTGCATCATCGATATTGGGTGCATAACACATGACATCAATTAAGGAGTCTGGCGAGGAGAGTCCAATGCTCGTTAGCGCCAGACTCTCAACTTGCCACTTGCAACAGCTGCTGCTGACCAAACCCCATTAAATATTGAATGCAGTTTACAACAACAATAAAGTACGAGCCGTGTGTGTAACAAACCCCTCCACCTTCCCCATACCTTACACACATCATCTGTTTGTCTGGGAAAACGTTTACACTACACTCAATTAATTTAATGGATCAATCGATCGTTGAATGCATGACACTTTGTTGTTGGCAGCAGCCAACTCATTAAATTAATTTGTTGGCTGGGCAATTTGTGGACCTTTGTTTTAGACGGGTGAGTATTATATGTGTGTGTTTAATATTAATTAGCAGATCAGGTGTCGCTTCTGGTTTACAGTCAGCTTAGTCAGTTCAACTCAAATTGAAAATGAATGCAATATATAATATCAAGTTGTAATCGAGAGAGCTCGAGTAGGAGATAACCTGAATTTTAGTACATTTTAGATAAATCAACTTGGCTGTTGATGCTAATCAAAAATATATATATATCTTATGTGGTCGTAGATGCTGCCCTCTGCCTGTCACATACTTTTGCACAAGTTTGTTATACCTTCTCATATTTAATGGTTTCACGGTAGAAACATATATCTATTCAAATTTGTTATCAGGTTTATTGATACCACCCAGTTTTTCATTTTATATGCAAATTGTAAACTCATAAATTGTTTGCTATAGCCTAAAAAAATACAGAAAAAAACCAGCTCGTTTCCCGTTTCACTTTTGATAGACAGCAATTTATACCAAATTCTTGCAAAACCACAAAAAGCGCCGATTTATTTTCACAGAGAGCGCATTGAGCAACGATTAATTAATATAAAATTAGACAAACAAATGAGCGGCTAATTAATTAATTCGTGATGCCCAATAAATTTGTCATCAATTTCAATTTCATTTCGGTGGCTTAAGCGAATGCATTTATTATGTAGCCAAACAAAACAACAGCAGCAACACCGATATATAAAAAATGATAACGAAACGATCCGCAACTAATCACCTGTTTCATAATTTATATTAATTTATTTGTAATTTCATTTTGTGCGATTTGTAAAAAATAAAGAAGCATTTTCGATCCCCCCTCACATATGTGTACAATTAAATATTTAAATTGTTTTCGACGGCATCTTTTTTTGTTTGTTTGAAGCTTTTGCATGTTTTTTCCATTAGCCGCTCTACTTGAATTTGCTTGAAGGTTATAATATATTTCAATTAATTAAATTGAAATAGAAAATATTTGAAACGGCATGCGTCATAGAAGTTTTATAAATTATTCAGCAAGGCTATTGTTTCTGAAAGAAATGAACTAGGCTGAGATTGAAAAGAAACTTGAAAACAATTACATATTGTATGTTTTACAGCTTAAACATATACGAAGGGTGTCTGCTAGTCGAGCACTCCCGACTAGAACATTCTTCTTAATTTATAGTGTCTGATTCGAGCATCTCCTTAAAAATACTTTGTTTACTTTACAACTTTGTTGCGCTAGCTGATATCACATTCTGAGCACATCAAAACAATTTGCTGACAGAGAGAAAACCAAGAAACGTGACTCGAGTGGACTGTCAAATATTTGATGTCGGACGAGGAAATGACATTTCTATTAACTTTTTGCACAAATCAAAAATAGCAAATATATGAAAATAAAATAATGCAGTTGATTAAAGTTTGTTAGTGCTACGAAATGTAAAAAAAGAATATTTGAGGAAGTATTATGCGTATCGTAATATAAATCTGTATTATGGACTAGAGATTTTTTCTTCCCACAACGTTGTCAAGTTTGTCAACAGTTAAAAATATATTTCCAAAAACTATTGTTAACATATTGTTAAATTTTGTAGCACGTAGAGCATTCTAAACAATGAGGAAAAATTCTGCAACAAATATAGAGAAAACTGAATCGGAATATGAAGATGTGGATACAGATGATTCGGCTAGCAGCGATTCGAGTCGAATAGTTAACGTGCATCGCAATGTTAAAACAAGTGAATAACTAACATTTTTAAATACTTTCAGCCAACTAATTTCACATGACTTGAAATTTACAGCTGAGAATCGGAGGCGCAGTGCACAGGAATTGGTTTTCATAGGTCTCTCATATATTCTAATGCTGATCACGTTTCCGGTATCGATATTCATGTGCCTGGTCATCCTGCAGGAGTACCAACGAGCGGTTATCCTGCGCCTGGGTCGCCTTCGAGCCGGTGGAGCACGTGGTCCCGGCGTCGTCTTTGTGCTGCCCTGTGTGGATACGTATACGAAAGTGGACTTGCGCACCACGTCGCTGAATGTACCGCCGCAGGATATATTGACCAAGGACTCGGTGACGATCAGTGTCGACGCTGTCGTCTACTACAGAATCAAAAATCCCCTCGATGTCGTCTTGCAGGTGATGGATCATGCGTCCTGCTGCAAATTGCTGGCAATGACAACGCTCAGGAATGTAACGGGCAGCTATATGCTTATCGAGCTTGTTTCCTCCAAAAAAACTCTATCACGAAAAATCAAGGGCGCTCTGGATAGCAGTGGCGCCACCGAACCCTGGGGCATACGCGTCGAGCGTGTCGAAATGTGAGTTTACCAAATATACATGTGCTTATATCAGAGTGGTTTTATCGGTAATCGGTTTCGTTATGATACTTTACACTCAGAAAAAAATTAATTTCCCTTGGCAAATTTCGAAAATTAAGGCCGATTTTTTTCTGAGTGTATATTAACTAATAATATCGATTTCTGTAACTGGTTCTGTTTTCAATCTGTAATCGTTTTGACACCCTGATATATATTCAATGAATTAATATATCTAAGTCACGCTTCTAGCACTGATATTTACATGCCCGAGTCCCTGCAACGTGCCATGGCCGTGGAGCAGGAGGCACGTCGCGAAGCAATGGCCAAGGTGGCTGCTGCAAATGGGGAACGGGATGCGGTGAAGGCACTCAAAGAGGCAGCCGACATTATGGAAATGAATCCCATAGCGCTACAGGTGAGTGTTTCATCAAAATGAACTTATCTGACTTTATCTGACATTGTCACCAGCTGCGTTATCTGCAAACTCTCAACTCGATTTGCAACGATGAAACCGAGTCCATCGTCTTCCCCTTTCCAGTTGATATTATAAAAAAATTAATGAAATGAATAAATTTCCGTATCTCCAAATAATTTAGTAAATGTGATTTTAACTCATTCAACAAAAGATTTATCTACAGATCATAATAAACTAATAAAGAAAACGAGTTTCAAGTTTGAGATTCTAATAAGCCACCATTAGGGAAAACAAGATTTACTTAACAAATCTAATAAATAGATAGATCATAATATATAATCTTATGCAGTAAACATTTTTCTGTAATCTAGAATTATATATATTATAGAAGTATGGTTAACTTCTCTGCCTGCCCCTGCCCAAGTTTCACATAATTTCCCAAGATTTACAAGCAATTAGTTGGAAATGTGAGCATTGAACATATTTCCTCAATTAAGCAATAGATTTATTAGCTTTTTCTCCACAAAAACATTTCAGATTGAAGTTTGCATCATTAAATTCAATTTGAATCTCTTGTAACACAAGAATCCTCAATTAATCTTGAATATATATTCAAATGAACACACTCGCTACGTTAAACGAATATGAGTGCGAATACCCGAAGATGTCGAAATGAATTTCTGTTGATTGACATACAAAAAAAAAAGGGGCACAATTCGAGTCAAGGCCAGGGCAAAAAAGGCAGGCTGGAAGTGCTTACTTAAGTACTCTTGATGCTGCGACTTGCAACAGCACTTGCAACACATTTCGCATACACACGCATATCTCATCATAATGGCCTTTTAATTATGCACGCAAAAAAAACACTTGAAATTAATTAAGTTCGATAATTTAATAAACGATGTTCTATTAAAAAACCAATTTCACATGTTTGCCGCTTTTAATTCAAGTACATTTTTAGATATTGTGTTATCTGAGTGTAGCAATATTTTTATATATATATGTATATTTCTCGAATACGTTGACCCCAACTAAAAGCAATGAGAACAGCAGCGGCGATTGCGCACTTAAACAACTGTATTGGTCATGGACCGTTTGAGTTGCGAGATCGCAACTTGGCCACATGTGTATTTTTCTGTTTTTGTTTTTTTTTTTGTTTTAAAGAGCTACGTCATCGTGGCAACAACATCAGCAACAGCAGCAGAGCAGAAATAGCAACTGAAACCGGTAACGGGTAGTCAGTCCGACAACGAACCACGTGCTCTGTCATTTTGCCGCCAAAAAAAAAAACAAAAAACAGAGTTGAACTGGTTTTTTGCGCTTTAGATGCAAAGAGAATAGAAGTGCTGGCCGAAGAATTAATGCGCTACAAGACTACAAAAATAAAAATAAACTTAAAACGTATAATAGATAAGAGAAGTAAGAGTGGTCTAGACGACCGAACAGCAACTAACAATTGTTAATAATTGAAACCAGTCGAGAGAATTCGTAAATGCTTGCACTTGTTGCTGTGTAATATGATAAATATGTTAATACATATTTAGTTATTTTAATTTTTATATTACTTTTTAACGGATAGTTCATAATATGTCACGGTGTCAAAAAATCCAACGCATCTTTAAAGTTATGACTTTTATTTTATGAGTAAATGAGTTTTCATTATACCCACTCTTTACCCACTTTCAGTGCTGGCTTCAAACGATTTATAAGAATAAATACGCTTTCTGGGGCAGCGCAAAATTAAGTTTTCTATTCGTATGCCTATTTTGTATTCGAAATTCTAGCCTTATAGCATTCATTGCCATGTTTCAAATTGAATGTCTGGTATAATTAATACGCCAGAGAGCACAGTTCTAAGCGTGCTACAAATGTATGTGTATGTGTATTATATTCTGTGTATCTGTATCTCTGATGTTGTATATTTAATTTACGAGCGCAGTTTCAAGGTGACTGTGACGTCATGGCAAACATGGATCGCAATTATTTGAGCTCACTGTATTTATGGAATCGAAGCTAATCAATTTAGAGATTTATCTGGTTAGCTGCTGCTGTCTAAGCCTGACAGGCGACTCATTGTCAAAGATACAATTTGTGTGAGCTCATAAGCTGGCAGGAGTATCTTTGTATGTATGTATCTGTGTCTATAATCGCATATGTCAGCATTAAGCGGCATAATACACATCACAAATCATTTTGCCAGCTTTGTACAGCAACTGGTTGCCACACAGAGATCTCTCGCAATGCATCCACCAAGCCAAGTTGTTCCAACTGTTTTGTGCTCGTTCAGAAAAAAAGTGGACAATGAACACAACGAACAACGTCACACTCTGGCTTGTCTATCTGCTTGTCTGTTGGTGTTTTTTTATTTTCATTTGTATTGTAATCAGTGACGTTTATTTTATAATTTCAAATTTAATAGCTGCAATTAATTTAGTTTAAATGTAGGCTAAAGCTTAAATATAACATGAAAATTATAACATTTACTGCTCATTAAACCAGAACATGATCTAGTTGCGAGTGCTCGACTAGAATATACCATTTGCTCAATATGAAAATAAGTTTTGGTTAACAATATCAGAGTTTCTTAAACAATATTGATGAATTTTTCAAACTGGATCAATAATGTATGAATGTCTTATAAATTAATATGAGGGCTAAGTCCTTACATTTGTGCCTTTTATTGCTATCTGTAATCGATTAAATCTCTAGCTCTTATGGTCTCTGCGATCGACTTATTCATACAAACAGACAAAATGTATTTGACTTTTGATCCTGCTTAAGAATATATATAAATATATACCAGTGCCATAATTTTGTCAAAACTCAACGGATTTTCAAAAGTAAGGGTGTTTTAATCATGGTTTGACCTCTGTTTGATTCTAAGTCGAAAATCAAGTAAAAATCATAGACCAAAAAATAGTATATGAACATGGTGCTTAACCATTTTTAATATAATAATGCTAAGAACTCATTAAACTTGAACTCGATGTTAAGAAAAATTAATATTTCGAAAACTATTCCAAGAAACATAACCAATACAAAATTTTCTTTAACTTTGCCCAGTCTTTTCTCGCTTGGAAAACTTAATTAAAACTAACTGGAAAATAAGCAGAAAACCACATGGAAATTTATTCATAAATGGAAATGGTTTCTCTGATTACACACCAAAACAAGACACGGGCTGCAGGGACTCGAGAAAATGAAGTGGTAATTGCAACTTTAAACTCTTCACAAAGATGCACTTCGCTGCAGATGCAGACAACATTTTATCGTTCGTTGCTTGATGACTGATAAATCATGTTTGTGGTTTACTTTGGCCCCCATCATTCTCCATACTAACTGTACATCAAAGTTATTGTTAGTTGTAGTGTTTGAAAGACGTTGAGGGTTTCGCGGATTGGTGCTGATGCGATGACAGGCAGCATTTTGAAAGCCTTAGCTCCATTAGCACCTCATTGACAGGCATTGAGTTACGAGACGAAGGGGCATGCAACCAGATTACACACATTGATGATGTGCTCCAGTAAATGCGACGGGCTGCTGCTGCAACTGATGGCTGCTGCCAATGAATATCGCGTGCCGCGCTCATTATGCATCTTTAAGACACAATTATGCCTCATGCTGTAGCTTGTGGCTGCCTTCATGGCCTGCTACGCAAAGCCTTCCACATCGTTGTTGTTGTGGCATCAACAGCGCCGTCATGTTTCGAGTGTTTGTTTAGCATTCAATGATGACATTTTGTCAGGCCATCAATTTTAGCCCAAATGAAAACTTTTATTTTTTGCCTTTTGCACTTTTATCAATTAAACTCTCGAGCGTAGAAAATTGTTGGCTGACAGCGGAGTTTGTGTATGTTTTTTTTTTTTGTTGATGTTGACAAAGCTCTTCTGCTATTATTATTAATGACACTGAACGATGGCTCTCAAGTTCAACTTGCTCAAGTCTCATTTGCCGCGCTTCTGCTGTTGTTCGTCTTTCTCTCTCTCCCTGTATCTCTTTCTCAAAAAACTCCAGCACAGCTTGACACAGTTCGTCATTCGATCCTTTTTTTGACAGGGCCCAGAGCTCGAGGGGCTTGCAGCCCAGTGCCCAATGGATTTAAACTCTGCTGTAATTAACTGCCAATTTGCATTTAAATGAAGCCGCCAAAGCATTGTTATACAATGCTCTCGCACTTGCGCACAAAAGGGGTAGATTGATTCGATTTCTTTTTTAAAACTTTTAGTATTGTCTCCACCTTTGAATAAGAGTTTATTTACTTGTAATATATTTTTATAAAAAATGTTCGATTACGGGGCACTTATATAGCATGTCAAACTTCTCTTATTGTTCTTCGCTCTCAGCTTTTCCATATGCTTTTGTCTTGCAACATTTCCTACCCCTTTTGAGCCTTGAGCGTTTTGTTTACACATTTACTTTGTACAAATCTCTTGTTCCTACCCAAAAAGAATCGAATGCCATTTCTTGGGTCTTTAGTGTTTACTTTTTCTAATATGTTGTCATTCACCCTCTACCTCTCTGTCCATCTCTATATGTCTTACTTGACTCGTTGAAGTCCGTAAGATATATATGCTTTCCGGGTTTCTTAACTCAAATTACAAAGCTAAATGAATAGCAAAAGGAATGAGAGGAGGGATCGGGTATATTTGCATTTTGCAATTTGTTATAATAAAAGCTAAAAAAAAAACTGGCTTGCAATTTGTTTTTTATGCGCTCACTGTCACTTTCAATTTCTAGCAATTCAAATCGCGCGTAACCGCGTCGAATGAGGTCAGCTATTAAACAAAACAGATAAAAAATAGGTCTTTCTCGCCCCCATAAGTATATAGTATATTCATATATATATTTATTGGGGCATTGGGGCAATTTCGTGGCGCCACTGCCGCAACCAGCATAAATTTCCACAATAAAATGACCAAATGCAAATTAATGAAGTCTATTTGCGGATAACGTTTGAGATGTATCTTATACATTTAATTAGCTTTGATACTGACCACTCCTGAATAAAGCCAGTATTCAATCTTCTGCTTCTGATTGAACAACTTATGCGCTCAAACAATTCTGAGTCGATATTTTAAATGTTCAAAGCTGGATCGTTTTTAATGAGTCCATTTTGACTATGATTTTTCACCTCTTAAGTGAGAATCACTATCTATATTTAAATTTAAATTCACAAAGCAAAATTTGGTACTGCCAAAATCAGCAAATGTCTCTAAGTGTATTAACCTAAAAATCGTATACCCAAATACGTAGCTTTTTAATAAAGTTAATATTGTTGGTAAGGAAAATGGTATACCATATATAAAACGCTTAGCATATGTTTATATTTTCCATATATAGTAAAGTCGAATTAAAATTGAATTCATAATATGTGGCACAAACAACAGAAAACAGCTCGAGTTTCACAGCTCATAAAAAAAACAGTCAGCGTTCCGGACGAGTAGAAAACACAAATTTATAGAGCACAACTATGAGCATTATTAAATTACACATTTTATATAATTTCTGTTATAGCAGTCATTCAAAAGTACTCAGCCGACTATCAACTATGCAATTGTTGACCTTGTACAATGATATGAAGCCAGAACAAGCAAAATAACGAGTAGGAATGCTCACGTCAAGAATACTTGACATCCACAAACAGTTTTCTTTTATGTTTCTAAGCTTATAATGAAAATATTAGTAGATGATCAATATAATGTCAAGGTATATAAGCATCCAACTAGAAAGATATACATATATGTATACATGTATATATATTTTTTTGTGATTCTTAATGCTATCGGTAATCGATTGTTATCGATAATGAGAGGGGTATAGATATACCCCTTTTACCCATTTTCGATACCATGCAGAACAAATACCACGCAGACTGAAAAAACAACTAAAATCATTTCAGGCGATTAGATGCAGAAAACATGGTCAGAAGAATTTGCATGCAGCAATTTGATAATCAAACAAGACCACAAAGCGGATAATAATTAGGGGGTGGGTGAAGAAGGAAAAGGAGAAAAGAATGCAGGTAATTTCTGCTAATGGCACGCCAGGTGGCGCTTCTGCATTCGAACTGGGGCACGCCTCCCATTTAATTGGCGATGACATGAAAAGCAAGCAGTCTTGCTTTGGATTCCACTTGGCATTGCAATTAGAAGACAGGCCAATTATATAATTGAGTTTGACTACTGGGTCAGGTCAACAGAGAGCGATGCAGTCGACACACTCAGTGCATTTACTAATTGAGATTGTCAGTCAGAGTTATCTCTGTAGCCAACATTATGTTGAGAGATCTTGTGATAAACATCGAGAATAAAAGCCAACACTTCCCATTAAATGACATTAAATTGCAGTCACATGCGGAGCACAAAACTAAAACTATAGCTGATGACATCGTTTGGCAACAACATTGACACGCATCTTGGACAAAGCGCGTCCAATAGATACACACACACATATATATATGCGAGCGTATATATCTCTGAGCACCAAATGGGCCGAAACTGTGTGGATTCCCTGTGGAGTGCCTGGCATTGTCTTTAAACTGTGTGTAGGTGGTTGTCGCTTCCAAGTGCATGATATGCGGCATTAAACGCGATAAGCAGCGTCTTGGTTTGAATGGAGTATTTATCCATTCGTTTCTTACTATCAAGTGGCATGCATTGTGCTTCTTCCTTCCTCCTCCTCGTCTGCCGCTTCTACTTCACTTGCCCGCTAGTCAGTGGGTAAGTGGGTTAAGTTATGGGGCATACATCAAATTACAAGACTAAAGATGTGCTTTGGGTTAAAACGAAGCCAGAAAAAATAGAAAGTATTTTGAATGGTTTAGAATTAAAAAGCGCCGCATAACTTGTTAATGATAATGCGTATAAAAAGATTGAATTATACAAAAAGTGTATTACCTTTCAAATACATTGTCCGATTTTTTCTATATATATTGCTATGGCTGAACTAAACAGTAAAACCATAATAAAATAATATTACGTATGTGCTATAAATAAGAGTATTCGTGTATGTTTCTTGCGGAATTATCACGAATTACCAAATTTAACCTTGCAGCTCAATTCCTTTCAATCCTCTCGCACTAAAATTTAATGCCACAAGCATTTCGTCAATTCAATGTGTGTATTCATGGAAATATCGTGCAACACGATCAACAACAAACAACAAATACAATTGTGCCCGTAAATTTTGTTGAAAATTGTGTGTAAAGTGTCGCCACATGAAAATTAATCACTGGCAGCCACAACACAACAGCTGTCAACAATTTTTGAGGTTCATCACCCCGCTTGGGCTACTCACACCCCTCCCCTCTACTCCCATTAGGTTCTACTGTTTATTCAAGCAATTGGATTTATGATCGTCCCGAAAAACAAAAAACAAATTGCCATTCATTTATATTTATTTATGCATAAATGTGAGCAATAAAACGCTGTTGCAAAGCAAACGCACAAAACATACAAATTTGCCTTAGAACAAAAAAAAAGAAAAGAAATGAACGAAAATAAAACAAAGTGCAAAACTGCAAGTTAAAAGCCAAAGTGACAAAAATAAATGGACAAACAGACAGAGAAAGAAAGAAAAAATAAAGGCAGACAAGGTAAATAAAAGCGCTTGATCCCCCAACAGCGAGTGTTCATATACAAACAACAACGACAACAACTGTAGTCTGTCTCTGATCTCAGCGCTTGGATAAGCAAGTTCCTCACCTGTGCCCCTTAAAAAGCACCCTCCCTCTATCCAAGAGCTAGCGCTGCAACGTCACCGTTAGCGACATGCTTTGAACTGCACATTGAGAGCTTCGCTTGTAGTTCAAGGTGCTTTCAGCTCAGCCACAGGCGACTACAGCTGTGCGAGCACAGCGAAGCTCGACTCGAATCAGACTGGGAATGAAAATCACCGCAAAAATAATTAACTTTTTCTTGTTTTTGGAAATAATTTCAAAATATAAGAAAACATTTTTCTTAAAATTAGAAAGGCTTGTGCTAAATCGATTATATCAAAATATTTAAGTTTTTTTTACTTTTTATGTATACATTCTATTATTCAGAAATGCATTTATAAAAAAAAAGTAGTAATTTACCAGACATATTTTTTCTAAATTGTACAATATATATTTAACTTTAACTATCCGGTCATCTACAAAATACTCTAGTCTCACAGTGGCTTTAACTGCGGCAGTCTCCACTGTAGCTGCCTACTTTCTTACACAAATAGAAGGCAAGCGTTTGTGTATGCATTGTAAATTGACAATGATTGCCCACAATTTGCTCAACACTGACTACTGCTGCAGAGATGCAGATAAAAATATACACAAAAAGAGACAGACAGCGATGCAGATACAGATATAACAGTTGTAGCTGCTACTACTTTAGACTGGCGCATAATTCATGCTACTTAAGTTTTGTTGCACGGTCAACTTGACACACGACGGAAATAATAAGCAATAAATGGCACAGGGATCAGCAGAGGAGAGGGTAGTGAAGAGAGAGAGAGAGAGCGAGAGAAAGAAAAAGACGAGTGTGAGAAATCCCTTGGCAACTTCTCGCTGAACTTATAATGCAGCCAGCGAATAAGCGTAAATGATTATTCAATTAAGATTGATGTTAATGATGAAGTCTTTTTCAAATGCGAATAAAATGATGTAAGCCACACAGCAGAGAGAATGAAGCCAACAATATCGCGATATAGTCAACCAGATCTGTGAGAAACATAAGTGAAATGTGTGGAGCTTAGGCAAGCCGAATATTAGATACCCTTGCAGAAGAACGAAGTTAATGTGTCGAAATCTAAATATATATAATATAAATATATATTAAATATAAATATATATTAAATTTAATTATATAGAATATAAAAATATGTTGAGTTTAATTCAGACAGCTGGAAAAACAAAAAAGTTTTAGATATAAGAGCTCATCTTTCGACGCATATTTCATATGACTGCTATATGAAATAGAAATCCGATATTGCCGGTATGGAAATATAAATAATAAATAAATATACATTGAGGGACTTCAAAATCGAAGGACTCCTTCCTATAGATATGGAAAGACGGACAGACGAAGCCACAAGAGACTCATACGTTTAATGCTGATCAACAATATGCATTACAAGCCTCATAGCAATCATAATACCCTCTGCAAGGGTATACAAATATGGAACTAACCAAAAATGGAACCGCCACAAACAGTCTTAAAAAGGTGCGACTTCAACTTGTGGCAGGTTGATTGAGTTGTAAGCCATAAAAGATATTTTATATATAGAAGGAAATAACCTTAAAAGTAATACTGTGAAACTTTAGTTTTTTTTTTTAACAAGTTTATTAATGATAAACTCAACCAAAATTGCAATGGACGCAATCCACTAAATAGCAACTGATTAAAAAATCTGAAATGTTAAATATATAGATATATGTGTTTACTCACCAATCGATTGTTCAAAGCAGCCAAATTCAATTAATCTGCAAATAAGCAGGAAGAAAAAAGAAGCGATTAAAAATATTTATCAGTACAAAAACAAGCAATCAAAACATAAAGAATCCATTTCTGATTCCCAACTGAAAAAATTTCAAGCTGAGTTTGGATTAGGCCAGGCCAAAAAAAAAACTGGCCTTGTAATCTATCAGTTGAGCCGACATTATCGTTGTAAATCTCACGAACTGTTTTTTCCTTCTTTTTGTGAGATGCGATTATGAGGTATAGGTTGCATAAGGTAGGTAGATAGGCATACGTGTGGCAGTGGCACAGATATTGCTGGGTAACATTTTACCGTTAGGCACGACTTTACCCAGACTAATTGCAATTGCGTTGTGGTGGCATACGTGGTGGCTATGTGGCAAGACTTGAAACCCGTTTACCAGAGTTTGCCTGCTTGCCACCAACTAGCGCAACAGCTCTGCACGTGGCCAACTACACAATAAGCTGGGGCCAAGACCAAGACCATCATTAAAAGCCGCTAGAACAAAGTGAGCCGCCCAGTGGAAGGAAATTGGAGCTCCATACGTTAAAACCAAGAAGTCAGTTGAAGGAGAAAGGTTCGCCAAGCAAATCGGTTTAGTTTTAATAAAACATAGAGAGCGGACGGAAGGCCAAACATAATAGAAAGAAACCTAGAAATCAATTGGGATTGCGCGATTGACTGTGAAATTGAAATTGACATTGAGGCATTATCTTATTATCAACTATATAAGGATGGCAGCATTCAATTAAACAATTGAATTTCATGGGCAATGCCCCATTTCATTTGGTTTATACATATATTTAAGTACTAGTGTGTGGGATATTTCTGTGATATGAATATGAGTATATGAATGAGTCTGAGCTTGAGTATACGAGTTGTGTTCAAAAAGTATCGCGAATTTTGTGTTTTTTCAGATATTATTTATTTATTCATGAATATCTATTTTGTCCCCTTCAAAGTAATCCCCATGAGATATTATACACTTGTGCCAACGGTTTTTCCAATCTTCGAAGCACTTCAAAAAATCTTTTTTTTTTATCTTGTTCAGCTCCTCCTTCGATCCCGTCTTTATCTCGTCAAGCGTAGCGTAACGTCGTCCTTTCATGGGCCTCTTCAGTTTAGGGAACAAGAAAAAGTCACAGGGGGCCAGATCTGGGGAATACGGTGGCTGCGGCATCATTAGTGTGTTGTTTTTGGCCAAAAAGTCGCGCACAAGCAACGATGTGTGAGCAGGGGCGTTATCGTGGTGCAAAAGCCAATTTTTGTTCTTCCACAAATCCGGGCGTTTCTGGCGGATTGCTTCGCGCAAATTGCGCATAACTTGCAGGTAATATTCCTTATTGACCGTTCTACCCTGTGGCAAGAACTCATGATGCACCACGCCCCTGCAATCGAAGAAAACTGTCAGCAAAACTTTCACATTCGACCGAACTTGGCGCGCTTTTTTCGGTCTTGGTTCGTGCGGCAGCTTCCATTGAGATGATTGAGCTTTGGTTTCCACGTCGTAACCATAAACCCACGATTCGTCACCAGTTATGACCCTCTGGAGCAAATTTGGGTCGTCGCGGACAGAGTTCAACATCTCATTAGCAATGTTCATGCGATGCTGTTTTTGGTCGTAATTGAGCAATTTTGGTACGAATTTCGCGGCGACCCGTCTCATGCCCAAATCATTGATAAAAATCGAATGGCATGAGCCAATCGATATGTCTAGCTCCTCAGCAACTTCTCTAACGGTGATTCGACGATTGGCCAATACCATTTTCTCCACTCCATTAATTTTTTCGTCTGTTGTTGAAGTGCTCGGGCGTCCGGCATGCTCTTCGTCGTTCACATCTTCTCGGCCTTCTGAGAACATTTTGTACCACCGATAAACGTTGCTTCGGTCCAAGGTAGCTTCTCCGTATGCCACAATCAACATTCGGAATGCATCCGCGCACTTAATTTCGTTTTTCACACAAAATTTGATACAGGTTCTTTGATCCATTTTTTTGAATAGGTAAAAATCGAAGACGATCCAAAACACGTGCAAGCAAAGCAGCTGTCAACATTCAAAATGGCCGAGCTTGTCGGCATAAGTGAGAGACATGAGTACCAACATAACGCTACAAAAAAATCTAAATTCGAATATACGTAACCCGCGAAAATTCCAAATTCGCGATACTTTTTGAACACATCTCGTATGTTGCTTGTTGTTGTAAAACGATACGATTTTCTGCCTTGTTTCTCAGCCGATTTTGATGAAATTTTCACAGATGATCAATATTATATCGAGATATGCCCAAACAATATAAGAAATTTTGTATCTCTAAAATTGAGACTTTTGTTATAATCGATTTACGAGTTACGATAACTTAGCACTAGTTCTTCTCTGAGATCGTCTTGCTTATGCAGCCAGCTCAATAGCTTGAAGCTCATCTAACATATATACACCTTATACTTTTGCACAAGTTAATTATGCCCTCATATATTTTAAAGAGGGCCTAAGAATGTTATGAAACATTGGTAATGAACATTCCTACTCAGTAAGCCATAATCAGCTTGGCTAACTGCATAATAATTATAATCGCGCAAGAGCAATAACAATAACACTAACAATAACAACAAGAAACAACGCACACAAGTATAACCCAATTTAATAAGCGGGGTTGTACCCTCTCTCTCTCTTTATTATTCATACATTATTCCTAAAGAATTTCAATAAAAATTGAAACAATGCGCTTAGCATTGTTGGCTTTTTTTCAACTTAATAAATAAGTACACCACTCTTTTGTTGCTGTTGCTGCTGTTGTTGTTAATTAACGACTTTGCTCATAAAATGCCATAAAACATATTTGCTAATTAATTATGGGTGGCAAGGCAAGCAAATGTCTCTCTTTTATGGTCAGGGACTATAAAATTTTATGGCATTGCAGGTGGACGACGTCAAAAACAAGAGAAACGTAAACCGTTAACCGTTATAAATGAGACCCAGCCTAAAAGCCAACTGGGGACTGTTGTCCGACCAGTCCAGTCCCCATTAAGGTGTGAAAAGTTCATCATTTTCGCGTGGGGATCCATTCAAAAAGGATTGACGCATTGAGGAAAGGACGGAAACGAGTCCTGTCAATAAAATATTTATATATGACACAAATTCCAATAATTAATGTGTTTAAATCGCGACTACAAATATTAAATATAAATTTATATTTGGCTTATACCTTATACCAAATTGACCCGATGTACGTAATGTGTACGAGAACTTATGTTTCAAAACAGATAAACGGATATATCTAAAATATTATCACGTGACGCGCCCAAAAAAATATATTAGCCTTTAATAAAAGGCTTGTTTTCTAATTCTTGTAAATGAAGTCTGGAAAGGGGAAAAGGAAGGGTGCAAGTTTATTTACTTGGAATCTTACATAATTGCTGCGACGACTACGCAGCCAGAGATGTATCTGTTAAATTGTCATCCTCATTTTGATTGCTTGGCGTCATACTTTTTGCTTGCACTGTGCTTGATAAAAACGGAAGCTCGTTTTTAGCTTGGCAAACGTCATTTTAATTGAGCTGTGTGTGTGGGTGTGTGTATGCTTTGCTGTGTGCTCTGTTTCTGTCAGCTGACCAAGAAGCACTGTTATCTATATATATACATATATATATATTGAGATATTTATCAGCATAACAAAATACCCGAAACATGAGCTCACATTTTGAGCTCCAATTGGCATTTGTCTTTTGAAGCGGGTCGTGTGTGTGTGTGCGCGCGGGGTGCGTGTGTGCGACAATTGAAGTATGAGCTAAGATCCTGGGACATAGTTTTTGTCGTTGTTGTTGCTGTTGGACATTGTTGTGGTTAGCTGACAACTCGTGTGGTTTGCTTAGCAGATAATAATAGCTTTATTTTGTGGCTTTGTAGAACATGACATCCAAAGCCTTGACTGCAAATGACAGATGCAGCTAAAAGGAGAACTTCCTCTGTAATCGATTTGAAGTATTTGAGAACTTCTGCTGTAATCGATTATAAGCATTTTAGCAACTCAAGAGCTGCACATAACTGAAATATTTTATTGTGTATATTCTACAATTAACAAACATTTTTCAGACGCCTTTTTCATTTGAATTTAAATTTTCCATGTGCCTTTAAATTTTTTTTACAACTGAGTTAAACTTCACAAAGTTTTCCTTAAGTTATTTACAGATTTTATTATATCTATATTTTCGTAAATTTCTTTTGTTTCCAAATGTCTTTTGCCAACTGTCCAAACTCAATAAAGACCCTTCTAATATGTTTTCACTTGGAACTGATGTCTGCCAATGCTTTGTATTGAATAAAGCTTTATCATATGTTGAACGCGTCAAACAAAAACCAATTTAATATTGCTCCCTTTGCAACCCCAAACACCTTCTTTCTTTCGACAAGTTGCTGCAACTCTTCAATACAACACACTGTGTGGCACATTCAACTCGACATTCACTGCGATTATTTCCAGCATCGAGCTGAGAGTCCCACACAATCTGACAAATATAAAAGACGTAAATACAAAAAAAAAAAAAAACTTGTGTAGATTTTTCACTTTCCTAGCGCCTAGAAGCGAGCGATTTCCTCTTTTTGCCGGCAAAAAAGTTCACGCTAAATTTAAAGTACACAAAGGCAAAAAGAAAAAGAGGGTAGGACTCTAAACAGAAACCATCATCAAGGTGTGTATTGTGTGTGTGCACAGCTGTTTCCACAACTGGCGGCAGGCAGAGAATTCGATATGACTCCCCCTCTTTATGCCCCAACCCACCCATATTTTACATTTATGCTGAATTGCAGACCGCAAACGATTGCAATTGCTGCCAACCAATTGGGATTTACGAATGCCCCAAGTATACCCAGACCCAACCCAAAGCCAACACAGATCTCAAAAACCTGAACTTCGTTTGCAATCAGTCAGGGCCAAGGCTTGCATCTGCTGATAAGCCAATTTTAGGCCTTGAATTCTCTGTTTTGCTTTGCTGATACACAAGTTTCCCCCTCACTTCTCAGTTCTTCTGCTCCCCTTTCTTGAGTCAAGTGTTCCAAGACGAAGCCTCCTCCGCCATATGCAAAACAATGCTCGCCAAATCAATACTAGAAAAGCCAACATAGCAACTCGAATTGCTGCAACACTTCAGCTGGACACGGCGGGAAGGAGGGGACGGAATATGGGCAAACAGGAACTCGATTCTACGCAATTTGAGTGGCGCCCGGACTCTAAACTGGACACTCGACTGTTGGCGCCATGCCTCATGTCCACATGTCATGAGCAAGAGTACATGTATTCATACCACATGTTGTGGCGCCTCCGGTTCTCCTTTGCTCTCTTTTGTTCTCTATATCCTTGCAGAGTATCATAACTTTTTTGTGCAGCGTGAAACGGTAAGGAGACGTCTACAAGCCCCTAAAGTACATATATTCTTTTTCTTCTCTTTCCGTTTGTCTGTTGCTTTACAAACTAGTCCATCAGTTTTAAATCTATCTTCATGAATCTGGGCATATATTCGACTTTTTCTCACTATTAATATCATATAACTCCAGTTCAAGTTTTGTAAAAATATACCGTCCGATAAAACAGCTACAAGTATTCCGTATTCCAACATTCATACAGAAAAAATATTTAAGCTTTAAAAATAGGAAACCGAACAATAAACACGTTTTTAAAGATACTCTTTTATTTTTGAACATACTCTTTATTTTATTATGTCACCATGTAGAAATGTATGATTTCAACTTACGTATTACATATTACAGATATACTCCGCAGTTCTAAATACAGGGCTGATGAACATAAAATAATTCAAAGAAACCAGAGAAACTTTCGGAGCCTGATTAAAGATATATTTTATATTTCTAAACATTTCTGACAAGAATTCAAGCATATCCTACCACTTAAAAACCCAAGCAAGTGTATTTCAACTTCGTCACTTCAAAGTCTGTTTTCTATGCTTGTGACTGCTTACATATTTTTTTTATTATTCGATTTTTTTGCTAACCTGGCACTTGACATGGCAGGCTTGGTTGTAAAGTGAATACTGGCTGCCTGTCGTCGCAAATTAAATGTGCTGGCTACAAAAGCGGCATCCATCTAAAATTGCTATTAGAAAATGTGTTGTAGTCCACAATATTATTAGATCCGAACACGATGGCCAATTTTCCATGTGGCTGAGCAACAATTGTGTTGTATGGAAAACAAAAGTAGCGCAACAGAACCGAGAACCTCTCTCACTAAGTATTCATAATTGGGAAATAGAAACCCGAGCCAGGCTAGAAACACAGCAGAATGCTGCTCAGGCTCTATAATTTAGTTGTGGTCAATTCTGTTGCTGGCTAATGGATAATGGATACTGGACTAATGGACTGGGTCACTGCAATTGTGAGTGCTATTGATTTATGTGTGTGTGCGAGTGTGCTTATGGGTGAGGGTGTGGGAATGTTGGTGGTGTTTTATGAGGCGCGGTTAGGCAGTTGGTTAAATTTGTGGTATGTGGGGAAAGACGAGACTTTAAATAAGGAAAAATAGCATTCAATAGAACAATCTTTATTCGCAATTTTAATTTATAACTATATATTATTTTATTTTAACTTAATATTTGTAACTTTAATATTAAATTTAAATTTAGTTTTACATCTTGATTTTATTCACTTTTGCACTGTTTTGATATAAATTAAATAAATAATACATGAAAAAACAATCAGCCAATTATCTTTCAATGCAATTTTCAACAGAGCCCTCCTCACTTCTAGAAAAAACTCAGCCCACAAAAACCAAGACAAAACAAAGCAATTATTTCCATTTGAGTTACGATTTTACGATGCTCGTCAAGCTAAACTGTTTACGCTTTTTAAAAAGTAAACTTGAAACAACAAGAAAAACAATTTCAAAGCCATGTCAAACACTCAAGCACTTTGTTTAGAGAGTGGGGGGGGGGAGGGAGGGTAGATGGAGTGTCGAGTATGTTAATTGCAAGAATGCAAGCGATGTGACATACGAAAGCGAAACAGGATCAACCCAAAGGGGAAACAAACAAAGCCAAGCCAGTCACGCAAGGCAGACGCCCCCGAAAAAGCAGCTAATAATCCGACAAACAAAATGCAAGAGAACTAGACTAGGAGATACCCTGTATTTAGCTGTTAAATACTTGCTGATAGTGATTTGTTCATGAATAATATGTATATATGGATATATTATACATTAATTAGAATCGACGGTATGGATATGGAAATCGATTTATTTAAAAAACGGTTGCAGTTATCAATAAAATTAAATATACCTAACATGCCTACGATATTTCAAATTTATAGGAGAGCTGACTATTATCATGAATCAAGAATATGCACTATATATCTGATGGGTTCGTAGATGCTTCCTTCTTCTGGCTGTTACATACTTTCCCACAACTTTATGCCCAATTCCATGCTCTAAAAATAATAATAAATTAAAACAAAGAACAAAAAGAGAGCCAATGTGGGTAATTTTCGTATAAATTTATCGCAAAAACAAAAGGTAGCCTGAGTCGAGTTGGTTTTGAGGGTAGGCAGCAGAACGGACAGCGCCTTTTTGAAGGGTGGTTTTTATTGGCAGACACTGTGCAGGCAGGCAGCAAATGCAGTTGCAGGCAGGACATTCGTGCACCGCAGGATATTATACCGCATTTGATATTAGGAACGGTGTCGTGAAATTTCACGCAAAATAACAATTTCGTCGCCGAGAAATTAATTTTTATGTGCCTCGTACGCTGTTTGTTTGTTTTTGTTTGTTTACAGAACGTGAAGTAATTGGTTGGCGTTGACGCCGTTCTATGATATCTGGATGAGGATCTGGGATCAGGACACACGACCAGACCGTATCAATTGTTGGCGACGCGTGCGGTTTTCAACATTCACAAATGGCGCCTGCGGTGCTGAGTTCTGCGTCCTGCCTTCTGGGAATCGCAACAGGCAAAAGTCAACAAACCCGAAAATGGAGCCAGTTCGTAATGGGTGGCCAAATGCACACACACAAAGATATATACAAAGACAAACAACCCAACCAGCATCCAAAAATCTGCTTTTTCTTTTTTTGGCACTTGCAACTTGCACAAATACAGAGCGGAAATTTCATATTTTTCCACAAGCGTCGGAAATGCAGCTCAATTTCTTTTATGATTTCGAAATAAAGATATTCAATTTAAATTTTTCACCTAAATTGCTCATTTGGAGTCAATTTTGAAGGAGTTAAGGATGGAGCTTAAGTGGGTGAGAGTAATAAGTAAGTAATGAGATAAAATGAGAAAATAATATATAATTGCATTTAGGGCTTCTTCTCAATTTTTCACAGCAATAATAACTTTCTCAACTCATTCTAATATATCATGATTTGAACACTCACTTAAGCGATTTTTAAAAGAAATTTATTATAAATTCAGCACTTCAGTAAAAAGAAATTTCTAACTGATCATGAATTGAATCTTCATTAAAAACTTAAATTCAATAATTTAAATAATATATTTTAATATAGAATATAAATACATGAAATGGTTATAAATATAACCCAATAATAAAAACCTATTTTCAAGTCACATTTTAATCACACATTACAAGTATCTGGCAAAAGTAAAGGTTAACCCTTAAGCGACACCAATCAAAAGCCCAAAACTCACGCGTGCCATGCTCAATATTTGAGACAGCACTGCGAATTTTCACTCAAAGCTCGTAAGAAGGGACTCGACTGTCGCCCCCAAAGACGAAATCCAAAAACACTCTGCGAACAGGCGAACACAACAGAAACGTAAATTGGAAGAAATGCCGCACAAAGCATAATAGAGAATGAAATAGAAAATAAATAATAAAATATAAGCGCAGGCCGCTTGCCGCTTGCCAACCCCCAATTTCCGAGCTCTGCTCCGAAGGATGAGAGCCTCGTTGATGTTGCTGTTGTCTGCCCAAAAAATAGAAGCAACGATGATTTCTGCGAGTGGCAACAAGCAACAGCAACAGCAATAGCGACAAGGGAGAGGACAGGGAGATAGAGAGAGGGAGAATGAGAGTGCCGGGCATGAGAAGAAATGCGTAAATGATGCACTTAGAAAAAATCACAAGTCCTATGACCAGCGAATAAGTCTTAATGTCAATAAAAGATAGATAAGGCGCCCATTTTAAGTTCTTTCCCACAGTAAACCAATACGGTGAGTGCTTATTTTAAGTGCTAAATACTGATATAATCTCAAAACAAATATAAATAATATTTATGTTCAGAGCAAGTACAAGACTATATAGGATTACACAAAGACCAACTGATGTAATTTTAGCCTAGTTCTAAAACTAAACCAATATGTTTAGTGTTCATTGTAATTACCCAAATTTCAGTAATCAATACTGGAATAAGCTCAAAATATATATAAATAATATCAATAATAGATCAGAACCCAATCTGAAGTTTAGTCAAGCTTGATATGAGCGCTCACTTTATCAGCTTGATTCAAAAGTTTTCGTTCTTAATTTGAGAAGTGAAATTTTTCTATACCCTGAACATATTAAAGTGGAAAAAAGGGTATGGCAAAGTTGGTCTACAACTGAATACAGGGAAGCTCCTAGTCGAACACTCTCACATGTTTTCAGTACAAAAATATTTACCTCAATTTCTTCGAGTGTAGCAACAACGCGGCGCAGACAACGTCGAGTATAAACCACCCCTCGCAGATGACAGCAGTAGCAAGGACAATGCCACCAGAAGTAGAAGAAGCAGCAGCAGCAGCTGCCTCAGTCTGTGGCAGTTGTTAGTTTGCTTGCAGGCATTTACTTTTTTTTTTGCGTACTTGTCTCCGTCTGAATCTGCGTCACAGGGCCAAACTCACGCGCGCCCATTCCAATGGAGGTAGGGCAGGCAGGTCCTGGAAACTCCATACACATGATGCATGCCACAAAGTAATAGTAGCTGCTGCCACATTGAGTGATTCATGCTTCGACAAAAATTTGACTTGAGCTTCATATCAAATATGATTATCAACAGCAGCCCATCAAATTCACCGCCAAAAAAAATATAAATAGAAAAGCAAAAAATTAAATAGAAACCAAAAAATGTTGCTTGATTTAAGTTAAATTTAAACCGAGAATAGCTCAATCATCGTATCTGATTAAAAACTTTTTGCTCATTAGTCATCACAGTTTGGGGCATAGATGATGTTTCATCTTTGGTGGCATGGAAATGTATTGCAAGTATTAATCAACCAATAAGCACAAAACTTGCCACATTTTTATAATGACTAATCACTTGAACTTTAAATCTTGAATAAACTTCAAGAAACTAATTTTCAATGGAACAGAAGTTCAAATCATATGAGAAATAAAATCAATGAGTGACTCATAATAAGAAGCACATTTCTGTTGATGACGATAGCAAGTCGAGTCGGCTTCAAGGTCTTCAGTCTTGAGTCTTGAGCATATTTGCATAAAAACTACAAAAAAAGTCTCTCAATTGATGACATCACACATTTAGTCAATACACCCAAAAAAGAGAGATACTAAAACTAAATCTATTTCAGCTACTGTGTAAAAAGAATAAAACCTAAGAAGAATGTTCGAAAATTATGTTCAGCAGAGCGAAATGTATTCACAACTAATTATTATGATAGTTTTTCTTGTTTTTAGAATTCATTTTGATATTCAATATTTAAACTCCTCCAACCGAGAAAGTTCAATTAACTTCTTACAGATACAACTCCTTGATTCCAAGTGCTTATCACATGATATTTAAGACACATAACAGTCAGTATGCAATATCCTTCCAACTATCCTCTACCCCCTTTATGTCCGTAATTTTTGTGTGTCCTTTGTGAGTGGCCCCAACCAGCTGCTTGTCCTTTCGCCTGTCTGACTCTGAATGTGAAAATGAAGGAGGTGAGGGTGCAAGGATATGTTTGAATAAGCTGTCAAGGATATGAGACTTATTTGCGCCAAACAGCTGAGCTGAGCAAAGCAGCTAAAACCGAGACAAAAAAAATAACAATTGCTGGTAACAAAACACAACAAAATAAAAACAAAAAAACAAGCATTTGAATAAAGTTGAGAGCTAATTTCATGTTGTTTGTTGCTGTCTCATCAATGGTGAATCCTTGTGAAGGCCGTCCTGCGACATGAGTCATCCTAGAAACAAGGCGAATATATATACACATATATATATAAACTTTTATAGTCGCGCCGGCTCCAAGCGGGTGTCCCAAAAACTCGTAAATTTGTCCATTGCTTTTGTTTTTTTTAGTTTTTTTTTGCCTTTGTTGATTATGAAATTTCATTTGGAGCTCAATTAAGTTGCGTCGAGCACGCGATTCCGCGATGCCTGCCCCACATTAACAGATACTCATACTATATATATACTATACACATATATATATTTCAGCTTGTGGTAGGTTTTTGTTTAATGGCCTTTTAAATGTGGCGCCAGTTGTGAGTCGAGATAAGTTCTTGTCGCTGGGCGCAACAAAAAGGAAATGTGCATTTTGAGTTTAAGGACCTTTTTGTGGAGACATCAACGTGTCCTCCTCCTATATCCAAATATCAAATCGATGAACTAATTTGATGAACGTCAAAAGGCGTGAAAGGAGGGGAGTAAAGGTCTGGTAGGGGTGTAAGCGTGTTCAGTTGTTAAAGGTCAAATTTGTGGGCGAGAGAGAATTGTCGTAATATATGTATATAAATATATATTTATATTTATATATGTATGTGTGTGTGATGATGATGATTTGGTGATATATTCAAACAAGAGGGCAAAGTTTTATAGTTGGGTGGTTTGATAAATATATGGTGATTTATATTGTGATTTGTCACATTCTGTTTAGAAGAACAGGAAGCGTAAAAGGACAGTAGTTTGTTCATTATGAAAACATATTTTGGTTAAGAAAATTAGTGTTGTTATACAATATTAATGCAAATTTTACAGTATTGCAGTCTATAGATCTTAGTCTCTGAGATCAGCCTACTTATACGGAGATATAGATTGGACCTGGCTGTTAGAGCTAATCAAGAGCATATAATGCAGATGCTTCCTCTTCTGCCTTCATTACTTATACCATGAACTGGCTATAATTATTTCTGCAGAAACCTCTACTCCGAGACTGAAGAAACTTAATTTAATACAAAATATTGTAGAAAGAAAGAGATTTTGAGCTCACAACTGTAATTAACCTTCTCACCCACACATATATGGTAATTAACCTATTGATATATAAATCTAATTACTGAGAGCCCAAGTTAAATTTTTTTCACTTTCCAATGCCTGATTGAATGATAAAATAAAATAAATAATAGACTAGGCAACAAATCTGGATCTAGATTCGGATTCGAGACTCGAGATAAGTTCAAATTGCAGGGAAACCCATCAACAGCTTTAAAAAGCCAAAAGCGGCTTATCTGTCGCTCTCTCGACCCAAAATCACTTAACTTTCGACCAAGGGCTCAACAAGCAGAAAATCATTTGCTGGTGGCGCCATCAAGCGTCCATTGTTTGTACCTTGCAGAGCGAGGGAGGGAGAGACATGGGCATATAAAGAGTTCAAGTTTAAAAACCAGACCAAAAACAAGCAGAAGAAAAACAACAACCGAATGTCAAAAGTGTTAGACGCAAACAAATAAAACACGAATAAAATATAAATAGAGCAAAAAAAAGATATAAAAGAAATATAAAAAAATAAAGCTAAACAAGTTTTCAAGCCAAAAAAAAATGAGACTGCAAAAGCAGAACTGAAGAGACGCCGAGCAGAGCGAGCAAGAGCGAGAGAGAGAGGAGCATCACGAAAAGGCAATAATTGGAAGGCGAGAAAAAAGAAAAAACGCATATCAGGCTCAGCTTATCAAATATCAAGAAAGTGCGTGTCAAAGCGCAAAGAAAAAAACACTTTTGTTATTCCTTCTATTTTTTGGCTTTTGCCTTTTGCCAACTTTGAGAAAAAACTGTCTGTTTACTTTTAAAAAATGAATTAGGGAAAAATATTAAGTTTAATCTCTTCGGTGTTCAATTTAATATCCTTATACACATGGAGAAAAAAAACAGGGCATTATTCAATTAAATTATGTCTTAAGAATTTATGGTTATATTTAAATCTAATCTTTAAGCATTATCGCTGGTTGACATAAGCTTTTGGAAGGGTGGGGGCCGTGCTTAAGCCACCCCCTCAAATTGTGAAGCTACTTCAACCCCTCCCCTACAACCAAATCTTAAACGAATTCAGAGTGCATTCAACTTGAATATCAATAAAAATCGATTTGGCCTCCAACACGAAACACTACTCCAAAACTAGCTGCTGCCCTTACCTTCCACCCTCCCCTCTCCATCCCCTTGGAACACCCCCTTCCTCTACTTTATTAGGTCGAACGTGCCTACTCAAATTCTGGTCTGGTCTGGTCTGAAGGCCGGTTTCCTTTCCGGTTAGCCCTCTTCTGCCGCTTTGCCTGCCGTTCTTCTAGCCTGGCCTAATAACAAGAGCCAACCACAAAAAAAAGGGCAACTCTCACTTACCCCCTACCTCCCGCGTCGCACAACTCCCCCTCGCCCATCCTTGAGTTAACAGTTTTCTGGTTTTATTTGTTGGGGCGCAATAAAAGCCTTTGATTATGATGTCCTCATATTCCTTTGAGGCGACTGCAACTTTTTTTTTATGTATATGTGTGTGTGTCTCCCTCCCTTCCCCCTATTTCTGTTGTTGTGCAGTCTGGCGCTTGTCTGCTGTTTCATTATTTACAGATTTCCCAACGTGGCAAAAAAAAAACGCTTTTTTGCTTTTTTTTTTTTTGTAATTCGCCGTTAAATTTATGTGTTTTACTTTCTTCATCTTGCTGTTGCGGAATTTTCGTGGTTTCTTACTTCCCCACCCCTGCGCACACTCACTCCTTTTTAGGAGACTTTCTTGGCGCATTAAAAATGCATTTCCAAATAAAGTTATGAAGAAACCTGAGCCCCAAACTAAGTTTATCATTTTAAACCACACAAACTTCAACTCACCTGAATTGTATTTGCCTTTGTTTAATTATTTGTTTGTTTGTAAGTGCAAAATTGGAGTTTTAATTTGATTTTTTTTTTTTTTGATGCGGCTAAAATTGTGGGAAGAAAAACGAAACACAAAATAACACCGTTAAAATTCACTCAGTAATTTGTAAAGCTTTGATCTGCTCTCAATGAAGAAGAATGCAACGAAAAGGAGAATGAGAAAAGTAGGAAAAGCACGCATATTACAGTTATTACAAAAAAGGCCGCCGTGGCCTTGCGAGCGATGGAGAATGGGAAGGGAGGGGGAGGTGGAAGCTTTAGCTCAGCTACAAGTGCAATGCGTAATAATTCCAATGAGAGCAAACACACACACGCACACACACACACAAAGTTCTGCTTGACACACACACTAAGCTCCCCTTCACACTGGACATGAAAATTAGCGCGTAAATGATGTCATATATAACAAGAAGAGGAAGAAGGATGCTGTACACAATTCCTATTATAATTGGCCAATTTTTAGGATTTAACCGTTACACTATATTTATCTTGGAAGTTGGGACAACTTATGAATATTTTGCGCTCTTAGGGTTTACACGGAATTTCGAAAACTCCATTGAATTGAGATATGCAATGTTATTTGCTGTTGTCGCGTTGCCCGCTGCTGCCAATTTTCAAAAAAACAATCGTGTCTTTTTTCTGCTTGCACCGCTGCCGTTTTACGTGCACACAACCTTACCGCAGCTCGTTTGTTTTTAAACTGAATGTATCGATTTGCATTGCAGCATATATCGATTTCATGCGCGCACGTGCAGCCAACTTCACTTAACGCAAATGTCCACAGCCAACACAATGTTAAGCTTATTGCGTTAGCACTGCACGCTATGTGCGGCAGTAATGTTAGCTAGCAGATCAGTTGGCGGGCTGTTAAGTTAATTAAAATTTAAATAGTGATGGAAATCGGAAAGCATTTAAATAAATAACCTTTGGTTTAAATTAATTTTAAATGTGTGGTTCAATTTATAAATAATAAGGTGTCATATATATATATTTAATTAAATAATTGATAAAATTGTCCAACTATAAAAATGGCAGTTATTTTCTTTCTTTTTTTGGGGCATGTTTGGAAGCCCAAATGGAATACATTTGAAACTATTACTAATCCAACTGTCTGTCCGGTTCATGGGCAACCTCGATGCGGCGGCGAGGACGCCAACGTTCCAGCAGGAGCAGCGTAAAGTGTCCCACAACGAGGAAGGCCAGAAACCAAGCTCCACATTGATAAACGGCAAAGATCAACTCGCTGAGGGTAAAAGCTGGTTCCCTTTTCACTCGTTCGTAGACTTTAACCGTACGCCGGGCAACATCCTCCCAGTTGTACAGCGTCTCCACGAGCTCATTACAACGATGTGGGCAGAGGACGGGTTCCTCAGAATTACCAGCTGCAACTGGACGTGGCTGGGATTCCTCATCCTCCTTTAACTCCTCCTTCTGCTTTAGATGCTTTTTGCGTCGACCTCGTCGCTGCTTGGAGCGCATCTCCGGCGGATTGTCTACACGATTCACATGCCTATCGATGGCCACCAAGATGGCTGAATAGATGGCTTCAATTTCCGGCTCCACGAGCAGGATTAAACTACTCGGAAGCACTTCTGGTATGCCGCCAACGCTGGTGGAAACGACTTGGAGGCCACAGGAGGCCGCCTCCACAATGGCCATACAGTAGGCCTCCGTCAACGAGGTATTTACAAATATATGGCCACGCACAAGGACCTCCCGCACCTGAGCATGCTCCACAGCGCCCAAGATCTGCACACGGTCCTGCATATTTGTCTTCTCCCTGATCTCCTCGAGCAGATCCCGTTTCGGGCCATCGCCGACAATGATGAAGTGTACGTTGGGTGTGCTCCTAAAGCGTGGAATGACCCCAGCCAACAGATCAATGCCCTTGCGATAAACAAGCCGTGAAGCGATCACAATATTAATAATTCCATCCGCCGGACGACGACAGGGATCGGGAGTGAAGAGGGCGGTGTCCACTGCGTTGGGAATCACCGAAACACGTTTCTTGGCCACACGTGCTCGCAGAACGGTGTTCTCCTTGCCAATGTGCGACACACAAATCGCATGGTTCACCATGCTTAGAGTGATCTCCAGGAGTTTATTCGTCAAAGCCGCCGACAAATCCGCAAAGCCAAACAAACTATGATCCGTGAAGACTGTCTGGGATATAGAAATGGTTGATGGGACAATGCATTATTAATATTAATATAATTTATTGTTATAAATCAATCATATACAAGAAATACACTTAACATTTTGTTTTTGCACACGGGCAAAACCGCTTAGCATAAGACAAACTTTAACAGAGCTACTCTCTGTCCCTCTCTCTTGCTCATAGTGCAAAATATAAAATATAGCAGAAGAAACTTTTAATTTTAAATTGCTTTTGGATACTTTAATTTGACGCCCAGCACGGCATAATGTTAATGCAATTATATTTGCAGACTATGTGTACTAGTAACTGCAAACTGCCAGCGTTAACAGCTCTCTCTCTCTCCCTGCAGCTAAATATTCACTCGCATCTCTCTTGTTTTCGTTTTTTTTTTCAATTTGGTTTTTAAAGTAACTAATAAATATAATAACGTTGTATTATTTTGAGCTGAAATAATAAACAATTTTCATTAAAAAATATATGAAAAAAACCGAAAAAAAATAAACATTTCAATTAACGTTAATTTTTGTACAGCACCCTATCTCGCTCGCTCTCCTCAACTGTCAACTTCAAGCACCCGCTTAATACATTGCAGACTGCAGAGTGATGTTAAACACTCTACTATCTTAATATTATTTATTCTCTCTCTCGCTCTGTCCCTCTCACGCTCACCTTCATTCCGAGCAGAGCGCCCACCATTAGTGCCTCATGCGCCAAGGCGCTGAACGCAGAGTGACCATGCACAACGTCGATGCGCTCACGCAGCAGAACTGCACGCAGCATGGGCACATTACAAACGGCTGTTGGCAGAATGCACTGATTGTAACAGACCCTAATCGGCAGATAATAAACTTTGAGGCCGTGCGTCAAATAGCGGACGCCGCTGCAGTCGCCATATGCGTGAGTTAACACAATAACCTAAACAAATTAAATTAGCAAAGATTTATTTTCTATTTTTAGTTAGTTTTCACCTTGTGGCCAAGTGCGAGCAGCATTTGGGATAAATTGTATACATGTTCCTCGACGCCGCCAATGCTCGGGTAGAAGAAGTCAGAAACCATGCAAATGCGCATTTTTCACATTTATTGCAATTGTTTCCTTCACATCCAGTTGATATTACACAAAAAATTAATAGAAACAAACACAAAATGCACAAATAAAGTTATCTGTTAACTAAAACAGCTGCGAAAAACATATGTTTTTCGCTTACTGTTACTTAACAGTCTGCACTTTTATTAAAGCGGGGAGACTTTGTTTTTGCAAATTTCAATGTATTGGGAATAAATGCATTTTGTAGTTGCAGTTGATTGAATTATTAACAAATTATAGCTCTAATTATTTACAATAAAGCATTTAATATTGGCATTTAAATTGAACAGCTGCGTCTTAACTGTCCCCATCGATATATCAAAATCTGTGAAAATATCGATATTACTTGCCAGCCCTGGTTCAATTTCTGTGGCGGCATTTTGTGGCCAACAACTCCAGTTCAACACCAACAAACATTTTTTTTATTATATTATTTGTGGTCACACTGACTGCGCTTTTGTTTTGATACTCTGTCCGATTGTGAAAATAGTTAAAATTACAATTTCAATGTGTGTGCAGCATGCCGAACAGTGTTCGCAAGTCGGATGCAACCGACCTAAAAACGCCCGCACGTAAGCCAGCAACAAACAATAACAACAATAGCAGCAGCAGCGGCAACTCGACACCAACTTTTCGCCGGCAGCCGCGCAAAAAACGACGCATCGACAAGGAAAAAGATAATGGACAAGGACAACAGCAGCTGCAGCAGCAGCTTGGCGAGTGCAATATTGAAGACGCCAAGGAGATCGATCGCCGGCTGCGGCAAGTTGCCCGAGCGAATTGCATCAGCAGCGAAGACATGCACAGGGTTGTTAGACAAGTCGTCCGCAACGAGCATGTGCTCGCGCTGGTCACACTCAAAGCCGAGGACGAGATGGCGCGCGAGCGACACGAAGCAGCCAAAGTGGAACAGCTGCAGCAGCAACAACAGTCGCAGCAGCAGCCGCAGCGTGGCGCCATCATCATTACAGAAACGCCATCTGTTGGCAAATTGACGCGTGCAAAGGCGCGAGAATTGAATCGAAATCCAGGCTTAAATTTCCCCCCCTTAAATGAGAAACCGTTTACAAATGAGATTGAGGCGCTGATACGCGAGGATCTGCACTCCGATGAGGACGACGAGGAGTACACATTTACCAATGAGGATTTCCATGTGAGTGGAGCGAGAAATAAATTTTTATTTAGGCAAGATAATCGATAAAATCGAAAATTCCCATTCCTCTCATCTCTCTGCTTAGTCCGATGATGATCCGAATACGACAGCATCCGATTTGGATTCGAATCCTTGCACGCCACAAACACCGCTCACCGCCAACGATGAGTCGCCCATCAAGTTCTCTTCGGATGGTTGCTTCAAACTGCCGCCGGATAAGAATACGGAGGATCCACGCATAGCGACGAGGACACGCTCCAAATTGTGCCTGCAGCAGACAACAATCGAAGATCTGCAATCGGAATTTGTACCACCAGATGTGGAACAGAGCGATGTCCTCGAATATGATATGACAGCCAATGATGCCGAGTGGATGCAGTTCCTCAACGACTTTGCCAAGCCACTGAGTAAACTTATATAAAGATACATCTATATCTTTATCTATATCTAATTTATATATTTTAGATAATAGTTTTTTGGGCGACGATGATGATCCGATTAATGATCCGGAATATGTCGCCGGGGAGGTGGTGCCGGTGGATGCCGAGGAGCTGCGCGATGTGAACATCTCTAAGAAGGAGCTAACCGATTTGGTCTCGGAACTATTTGCTGGCCTGCTGCAGGAGGGCATCTCCCTAGACTCCATTGAGCTGGAGACGCCGCAAAAGTTTCTCAGCCAGGTTGAACTGGAGACGGAGCGGGCACAGCTGCTGGAAGTATCGGCTATGCGATTCAATACGAACTTGGATGCTGTGCAACAGCCACTGTTGCCCAATCTCAGCCAGGAGCAACAGTTTTTTGCGAATATTCCAACGCAGGCAATTACTGCTCATCCTGACTATGAGCTGACTGCTCCTCCTACAGCTCCAACACCTGCTCCTCCTCCTCCTGTTCCTCTTCCCGCTCCTGCCTTGGAACCCTATGACACCAACTTCAGCTGGAAATATCTTTCCATAAGCAAACACTTTTTTGCAGAATACGAGCAACAATTTGAGCAACTACGTCACTTGAAGCCTCCACCAGCTGGCCCAACACCAAGTAGCCCTGTCAAAGGCTTCACCCTGGAGCAGCATGATCTGCTCCAGCAACAGCTACGCATTCACACCCAAATGTTAACCCAATCCTTCCTGCAAACCTATTCGCATCCATTGCTCTACTCCTTTGCCGAGCAACCCAAGCAGATGCTGCTTGAGCTGCAACACAGATCAACGCAGGATGCCAGTTTCCGCTGCTGGAATCTAAGTACAGCCGTTGAACTCATCCAGAAATGGGAACGGGATCTCAATAGTGATGAGTTCGAGGAACAAAATAAGACCATGATGCAGTTCATCAATAAGGAAACGGATTTAACGGAAGGACATGCACGTCAGGTGCCACGCCTGCCGCCACGCATTATGGATCTGATGCTGGATAGCCAGGTCTTTATGTACCCACAATATCTGCCCAGGATAGCCTTCCAGCCAAGGCGTTTACAATTTACAGTTTATGCTCCGGCTGAGTATCAACTGATTGCCATGGGCTTGGAGAAGCATCTGAATGCGATCAAGGCAAGCGGGCAACCACTACGCAAGGGTGCAGATCCCGTGTGCCTGGCCTGCAAGCGCATGGCCAAGGATCTGCTCCACGGCAAGCAACCGAGAAGGTTGTTCGTCAAAGTGAAAGAACTCTGCGATATGGCGACATACAATCCCGTCAAATATTATTTTGAGCATGGACGTGCACCGCCCATCAAGCAAATCCTGTGGGGCTTCGAGGGCGGACTGGTGCGCACGCCGCGGGAACAGCCCGAAATCCTGCCCAGTGCCTGGAAATATTACATTGAGGTGAGTTCAAGATTTTTTTTTTTTTAGCATATTTTTCATTGTTTTCCTGATTAAATCTCGTGCTAAGTGGTAAATGAATTTAGCTAATGGCCAACACGATCTCTGGGTATCAGCCTGAGTTCGGAGCCATGCTTGAGGAACACATTTCCCGCCGTTTGTTGCGGACTAATCCCGATTCCATCGTCTGTGATTATTGCACTCGTTTCTGGGGGCACTTTGAACTCCTCTGAGGCGAATTTGAGTACGGCTGTGAATGGCGTCGCCTCCGGCACGCTAAGCACCTTAAACGGCAGCTTGGGATCCGATGTTAGCGTTATTTTAAATGTTACTTTGCTCATTTTTTCGCTTTTTTTCTTATATCCGGAATGCAAATTTTCTGTGACGTGGTCAGTTTTCTTTTTGTTGCTATTTCCGCCAGCTGTTATTGCTGCTGCTGCTGCTGTTGTCGCTCCTCTCTTTATTCTCTCTTTACTCTGCTTACTGCTGCACCCAGTGGCACATAAAAAGTTAACATTAATTAGTTATTTCTATTTTAATTGAGGAAAACAAATTTAATTTCTTTTTGGCACTTACGCTTTGCGATATGCAAAAACAAGCACGCAATGTATCGTGTAATGTGTTTGTTATCGATAGAAGTTGAAGCCAGTACTGTTTTATTTTTGTAGCTGCGGCTGTACTCACGAGCAAAAACGGCTAAAAATAGCGGAATGTATGTGTGTCTAAAATGTGAATTAAATTGTAGCTGAATATGCAACATAATAGCTGCAAATAAGGTGTATTGATATTTTTTTTTATCTCTAAATATGTCGCTGATATTCAAATGTGTATACAAATCATAACTAAATTTACTGCCAAGACCGCTAAGCATGCAACTGTTTAGAACGATTGTTCTTATATTTTGTTTTGTATGCCCTACAGCAGCTCGTGCTATCGATAACCATCAACACTGTTAATAGTTATTGTTGGTATTTTTGTTTACCCGTGCTATCGATAAATATTTTATTTTTATAAAATGCAAAAATTTTAATTATACGCTAAACAAATTGTTGCACTAAAGCGTAATTTTTGTTTTTTTTTCTCTAATTTTTATCTAATGTTTTTGTTCTCTCAAAAAGCAAGTGCTATCGCAACACTGTTTGCGATGGTTGGTATTTTTTTGCTTAATCGTGCTATCGATAACACAATAACAATCCAAATGTTTACAAAATGCAGAAATTGAAAATATACGCTAAATAATTGATTTGCGTTAAAACGTAATTTGAATTATTGCAGAAAAACTGGTGCAACAAGAAACGCGTGCGTCGCACAAAAAAGGAGCTGCAAAGCCGGGCCTCAACAGCAGCAAGTGCGTCGTATTTGGAATTTGTGCGCGAAGCGGTGGGCGAAGTATTAATATTACCCGACGCGGTGGGCGAGGCAGCAGCACCCCATGGCAGCGCTACAGGATCAGGGACACAGTGGGACACCAACAAGAGAAGATCACCTACAAAAGCCAGTAGCAAGCCGCGTCGCAGTGGCAACAAATCCTTCAAAGAGTCAAATCAATCGCTGATTATCAATGTGAATTACGTTTTTGGCGGTGAAATTGGCGCCAATTCTACAGTTGCTGCTGGCATCTCGGCGCCCTTTCGACCCCAACAGAGTTATGCGCAAAATGTGGTCAATTTGAATCGTAGCTGGCAATTGAGAAGCAGCGAGCCAGCAATAAATTATAGCTTTGATCCGGCATCGGGGAAACTGTTGCCAGCAGCCGAGGAGCAGCTCCAAAAGTCTGCGGAGCGGACCAAGACAAAGAGTGCTCCTCCTGCAGGCCAGCGCAAAAAGCGCAGCAGGCCACATTGTTACATCTACAAGCGAAGCAAGAAATTTCAGCGACGTTGTCGCTTAAAATCATCATTATCCACATCATCTACATCAAGATCAGCACCATCTTTGCGTTGCCTGCAACTAATCACCTGCTACGGCAGCTACCTGCACCAGCAGCGAAAGAAATACTCTAATTGCCCAGCTGTGCAGCATTATCATAGAGGATTCCTTGGACTCGAGCTGTACACGCAGCTGCTTGTGGATCTGAGAATGTTTTGTGACAGTCATCAGACAAGTCAATCGCCTAGCCAATCCTCCTCGTCGGGTTCACCACAACAGCAGAAGCGACAGCGTTGCGAGGATGAAGCAAGGAATCGGCGAGCCAATCGCCAGGAGGAGATGCTTCGACACATGCTGCAGCCGGATAGTCCCGAGGAGCGAAATCGCAAGGATGCCAGTAAGTAATTGATGTATTTATTTAATATATTTAAATTTTAATTATAAGGTATTAAATAAATAAACATAAGATTTGTGGGGTTATTCAAATGAAAAATAGTGCAACATTTGCATGTATAGAAGAAAGCCCAGAATAAAACCCAATCAGATCCAATCAGAAAATATTTAGTACGAATTAGGATGCCCCAAATGTTATTCACGAGACACGACACTTAAAATTGAATTCTTTATGTTACAAATATTGTAATTGAATTGAAAGGTTTTGTTTAATATGACTATCAAATTTTAATTTATGCTCAAGAAAAGTAAACCAAGTAATTTACTTGAATCTATCAATCAAGTGGCATCTCTTCTAGCTGTCATCCGCAGCTAATCTTTCGGATTGTTTGCGCAACTTTTGATGGCCATAAAATGAGCAGTCCTCATTAGTAGAATCTAATTTAAATATCAAAATTTGTTCACAGCCTTTGCGTACAACTTTTATGAGAAAGTGGAGGAGGCGCTCTTGATGTCCGATCGCCTCGAGGACTGCCACAGATTCAATCAGCTGCTACAAACGTTTGATCCCAAGCAGGATAAAGTCAGTGATTTGTATTTGGTAAGTGCTATACTTTGTGCTATATTCAATCGCTCATTCTCAATCCCATATCTATATCTGCCTAGAAAGTGGAAAAACTGCTACTGCCCGATTATCCTGAGCTCGCTGAGGTATTTCTCAATTTTCTACTACCTGCCGAAGCCGCGGAACTTGGCAAATTCTTTGAGTACTTTATGATTACGAATGCGAGCAATTTCATCAACAAGCTGAATGTCTACTTTAGCAAACAGCCAGCGCAAATACGCAAAATCTATGCCTGCCTCAGCGAGCTGGCCGAGCTGCCCAGCGTCAGCATGAAGAAGGTCGAGGCGAGGATATTGCCACTCCTCAAGGGTAATCAATTCCTGTGTGATTGGTTCGTTCAGCAGTTTCCGCAGGCAAAGCCACCGCAGCTGTAAGTGAATATCATTGTGTGAACGGAACTGTACTAGATTATTGTACTTGAATTTATGTTTGTTTTGGTAACTAAAATGATATGTTTTAGAGAGAATATAAGAGTCGATTTTGCAATCTATTTGCTTAAGATAAGCTAAGAACAATCAAGTGTTTCCTTTTTGTTTCCTTAAATGATACTGAATATTAACTTAGATGTACAACATAATTAATTTTAAAACCTTTTTATATCCTTATTTCCCATTCCTTTTGCCAGACTGCTGCCCCCGGCGGAGAAAACGAATCTGCACGAGATGTTGGCCAACACCAGCGGTGAATTTGCGGAAACGCTCCACGATGTGCCTGATGAGACGCCCGTGCAGGGAAAAGCACCTGCGTGTCAGCTGCGTTATCTCAACGGACGCATCTTCTACGGCTCCAAGATAATGCTGCCAGCCAAGCTATCATTTCGTGCCGCTAGCATCTACAACGAGCAGTGCCATGATTTATTGACCGGTGATCCCTTGAGCTGTGCCCACGGCGGAGTCCGTGTGCTCGGCGAGAAGCTGATTAGTGCAGCGGCCGCTGTGGACAGCGATGATGCCGCAGATCGCAGCGAGGAAGATGATGCAAGTCGCTCCCTGGTTATCGACACAACGACTACGACACCGACGACAATGACGACTACAACGGGCGAGGATGAGAACTGTGGCTCCTCCGTGGACACCTGTGATGATGCTGCATTGCGTGCTCATGCCATCCGTCTAAATGGCAGCTATTACAATAGCAGCTTTAACAATGCTGCCACCAGCACACCCCACATGACCCACTATCATCATCATCAGCATCATCATGCACCGCATCATCCGAGTGCAAAGAAGACGGCAATTAATTTTGGCGAAATATCGCCACGTCGACAAACCAGCTCGAATCTATCACCGCTTTCGGGTCTGAGTCCGTTGCCCGCTGCTGCTGGTCTCTCGCCGCAGCCGTCGGACAAACGCAAGTCACCCAACAAGAAGGTGCGCTCTCCGCAGTCAGCTGGTGCTGCTAGTGGTGGTCCGTTGGCACGTCCACGCTACAATCTGCAGCCCATGGTGGTTATCCAGGGGGCGACAGCTGCACGTGCCTCGCCGGCCATTGAGTTTGCCAAGCGGCTGCGCACGCTGATCGGCGAAGAAGAGTCGCTGGCGAACGGGGAGGTGGCGCTCGAGGAGATGGAACTCGAGGTGACGACGCAGGAGTCGGCGCTCGAGGAGACGGCGCTGGAGGAGATTGCACTAGAAGAGTCAGCGCGCGAGGAATCGACACACGAGGAGTCGACTTTCGAGGAGATTGCGCCTAAGGACTCGACGCCCGAAGAGTCAACGCCCAAAGAATCAGCACCCGAGGAATCAGCAGACAAAAAGATGAACATTAAAATCATAGCGCAAGCGAAACATAATCCCGGCACAGAGATTGCTAAACTGAAACATGATCCAGAGGATGAATTGTTGCCGTTTGCTGCCATTAAAATGGATGTGGAAGCGGAGCTGTTGCCAACGCATGTGATCACCACACAATTCGATAGCGATGAGGATTGTAAATTGGATGTGGTCGCCTCGCTGGCCAATTGCTCTGTGGAACAGGATATACAGGTGGCATCCGTTGCATACACAAGTCCAAGCATCAATGCAATCGAGCCAGCTGCTGCCGGTGATTCTTCTGCTGCTTGGACACGGGAGGAGGACAAGGTGATACTCATTGAGATGAAGCGGGGGGCGAGGGATCGTGAGCATCTCATCAAGCGGATGGGCGACATTCTTCGCAATCGGAACGAGCTCGAGCTGCGCACACGTCATCAATTTCTCATGGATTTCCTGTCCAAGTTGCAGGGCAAATAATCGCTTAAAGCTAAGCTAATTTGAACTTCATTAATTGTCAAGTGTTCTATTTGGATCAATTTGGATTTTGCACTCACTGAGACTGAGATCTAAGAACACACACACCCGAAAGTATTGCAGCATGGTACAGTAAAACCTGATCCTTAACTGATTTTTCAAAAGTACCTAAGAAAAACACATTACTCTAATAAAATAATAAATAAATGTAAATAAGTCTAGTTATAAGTTATAGAGCAAGTTGTAAATAGAGTGTAATATTATTTGGAGCTGTTGTTTCGTATATTCCTTGGATATGTTTGCAGTTGCCTGTTCTGGAGATAAATGGGGATATTTACATATAAAAAAAAAATTTTAGCTTGAAATATAAAATGAAAATCAATATAATGTAACAAGCTTGATTTTTGATTTGGAATTTGGTTTCACTTGCAATAGAAAATCATATTTAATGTAAGTAAAAAAAGTTGCCATGTGATCTAGTTGAGAGTGCTGGACTGCTAGATACCCTGTACACAAAAGACTTGCTGTTTTTAGTTTCGTCTAAAATAAAATTCTTTTTTGAACCTTATTAATTATAATATGTTAAAAGACTTACCATTTTTGAGGGGTATACCAAAAAAATCACTTTAATGAGCGACCACCGTATCCACTCAAAAAAAAATGCATTTCACACACACACCATAAAATACTCTACATTTCAACAGACTCCATTAATTTATTGAAAATAAATAAAAATCACACACACGCTACTAAGATCACATATTGATGGTGCCACTGAGATGAGTAGCATCTTCAACGGGCTTCTGCTGCACAGCCAGCTGCATGCAGCCGCTCTCCTTGGTGGCAAATATTTCTGGCTCCGACTGTCTCTTAGATTCGATCTGCTGCTCCTCCTCCTCCGTCCACTGTTCCGCACCATCCGCGACAAAAGCGAAAGTTCCTTCCAAATTGGCTTTGGTGTGGCTGGGTTCAAGGCAAGCTGAATCGCTGCTCCAACTTTCGCAGCCACAGTGTGGTGCCTCATCCGCTGGCAGCTGTGCTGGCTCCACACTGCTCACCACACACTCCTCGGCAATTGGATGCTGCCGCCAGTTGGTGCAACAACGTTTGCAGGCCAACGCCATATGTGGCAGGCAGCAGAGATGAAAGCAAAAATCGGAAGCGCCACGCAAACAGAGAAAAAACTCGGGCATAAAACTTGGATTGATCACCGCATAGACGACAATATTCATGCTCAGCTGTAGGGCATTCAGTGTTATAAATATGACTTCCAGATGCTCCATCATCTCCTCATCCATCTTACTCGTGTCGCCGCCAAAGAGCAAGTTCAGCGAACTCTTCCTCGAGGTCATATGCGCCGGCAGCTCACCCACCATATACAAAGTGATGACAATCAGTATGCTAATTGTTAGCTTCATTTGATGCTGCCGATGAGTTGAGAATATATATATAAAAGAGGATATATATAAGAACGTGTCTTACCTGAAAGCGTTTTTGGGTTGTGCGCGCATTATTATTACCGGCACAGCTTTGCTGGCAAGTCTTGCCCTGTTTTGTCCAGCGACGAAAGGCTACAATGATGGCCATATTCCCGATCAGCAGAAACACAGCCGGCAGCAGGGCCAACAGGGCAAACGAGAACCAGTTGTGTATCTGATAGTATCTACAAAAGTATATAGTAAACGGACCTCAGTACGGATATCGACAAGCTCTTTTTGTATATATAATATATATATTATGTGTAAGATTATAGATTTCTATTTTGAACAAGTATAAAAATAACACACTCATTTACGAATGAGTTGTTCAAAAATAATTAAAATGTATATATTTATGTATACATATATGCATACATATATGTATATTTATATGTATATAATAAAAATATATACAATCATTTTGTAAAGATTCAATAGTTACATTAATTTAATTATGTGTCAATGTTACAGTTATGTTTTCAATATTTGAACAGACTTGGAATTTTATTAAAACAAAATTAGTTGATCCCACTCACTTGGAGTAGTAGAAATCGGTGACGTGGCACGTGCCGGTCTCCAAATTCACCACGAAGCAAAAGAAATAAGGTAGATTGGTCAGCACCGATATCAATAAAACCGCACTGATCATAAGCCGAGCGATTTTGCGACGACAGAAATGCGGAGCACATCTGCTGCTCTTAAAGCGCCACAAATAGATGAAACGATCTAGACTGACGCAGGCGAGGATCAGATTCGCAGCACCTGTGCTAATGCCAAAGAGCGGCGTCTGCCACTGATAATCGAAGGCGATCCACATGCCGCTCCTATAGAAATAGCTGCGAGCCAGCGCCGTCAGCAATATGAGCAAACACGAAACACTATCAAGGCAGGACAAGGCGGCGAGGTAAGTGAATGCAGATGGTGTCATCTTGGGACGCATGAAAACTACAGCATTTATCAAATTGGCGCACAGTCCGAACGAGGCCAATGTGGGCACTGCCAATCCATAGACGAGAAATATGGATACGCTGGGCGTTGTCCTCTGGAACATGCACACATCCTTTGTGTGCACATCGGATCCATGGCTGGTGCTATTGGAGGACGGCCGGGTAATGGTGCTACCAATAAAATTGAGGACATCGGAACCAAACATGGCTGACTAACCAAACTGACTAACTAACTGAATGACTGACTGATTGCTGACTTACTGGATGAGTTCGCTGCTTGTTTATCTAATTGTTTGCAAATTCAGACCAGATAAGATTATCTATCGTTAACGCACACGTAATGTTAATTTGTACGCAATCAAAGTGATAAAAAAGCATCGACTACGTTTCTGGAGGATGACCAGGTTTTTGGGGTAGCTCTATTAAATATTATAGATTCTTTAACTCCACCAAATAAAACACTTCATTCAGTGCTAATTTCATAATATATTTTAATACCAGGCAGAAATAAGCATGCCGATAACATAAAGTATATATATTCTTGATCAGCATTAAAAGTCCAGTCGATTTAGCCATTATGGGGACTTAAAATTTTGAATACAAGATCTCTAAATAAATAAAAGATTTCAATTGTAAAGATACACCACACATAATATACGCTGACATATTATTGATCAGGTGTAAAAATTTTATGAAGATCGAATAAGGAACAGAGAAATTGGCAATACAAGTAGAATCTGATTTTAAAAAGAATGAATATACTCAAAAGCTGTAAGCAGGGTATCTCACAGTCTAGCTCCCTCGATTACAATATTCTACCTAGCTTTATATGGTTTATAGACGATGTGTGCACACCATACACACACACACACACACACAATTATTTTTATGTTTGTAGATATAATAATTAGTTTTAGTTTAGTGGTAAAACAAAGCGCAAAACCCGTTCAAATAGTTTCAACATCGTGTTTAGGTTTATTTTTGAAGTAATTTATTGAGTTGAATTTATGTATTTGTTGTTTATATAGTAGTATGCTTACGGCAAACATCGAGATTGGTATTTGATTTGATATATATATGTATATATGCATATATTATATATTTGTATTTTGTAGTTGAATTTGTACTAAATTAATGCTTTTGTTTATAATTAAATATACGATTAAAAAAACACATACATTTACGAATGAGTTGTTCAAAAATACTTGAAAAATCATTGAAATATGTTTTGTTGTAAAAACGTTGACTATAAATTAAAAAATTCATGAAGACTAACAATAAATATGTATATATATATATAATTATTATATATGTATAGATTCAATAGTAAATTTAACTAAATCTAAACGTTAACGTTAATGTTAGCGTTAATTTTACAGTTATATTTTCAATATTTGAACAGACTTGGAAATTTTGTTTTGTTGCCATGAAATTCATTAAAGTAATCAATCATCTTAAGTTTCGTACTGAATATACAGACAAATATACATATATAGTATATACGTTTTAGCTATATTTATTTAAATATGTAAAGTATATTATTATATTTAATATACGAGCAAATTTACGTGTAGAGTACATTTTGTTGTTGAACTTGAACTTTAAGTGGTACTCGTCATAGTCATTATAACCACACAAATATCAGTTGATCTCCAATTATAATAATATTCATATATGCCTTTGCATATATATATATATATATATTTTGACTGGTATTATTGTAAAATAAACGTTTTTAAATGCTTTAAGTTCGGAGTTATACATTATATATTTATATATAAATTACTTTAGATTTTAATCGAATATTTTATTTTATTTTAAATTCAAGCTACTTTAGTTTTAGTTTAGTTTTTGTGCCCTAGCTTTAAGCACATAGCTTGGCTACTGAGTTTATCATATGATCAATTTTCTATTCGAGCTCGATTTTTTAAAATATATTTTTGGTAGTGTATATTTCTTCTGCTTACATTGTTAGAAACGAAAGAGAGCAACGAGAGGCACAAAAGCTTAGCTTAGGTTGCTCTACACAAAAATGTTAAATATTCAATTATATTTCGTATTAAATTAAACATTTCTTTTTCTATTCTTTTTAGACTAATAACTCAAGTTCATCCACTTGATATCCACATAAATGGATATGTTTTAAGCTTATAGTAGATTGTCTTTTCTCATAGTTAAATAGTAGATTTTTAGCAGCTAGATTTTTGTTGAGATAGGTACTAAAGTTTTAACCCAATGATAATATATATATAAATATATATATATATATATATATATAAATATATATAAATATATATATATATATCATATATATATTATCCCACCTATAGTTACACTTTGGAAAGCTACAGCAACAGATTTTGTATTCTTAGTAGTAGACTAAACTTAAACTTGATTTTAGCTTTAACTTATTGCTATGCAATTTGTTTGCCATCTTTTTTTTATTTTATGGTACATTGAGACTCTATGCCGTTTATATATATATATATATATATATATATATATATATATCTACGGCTTATACATACGCTATAAAAATGAAATTTAATATTCATATTTAAAAACACACACAAATAAGAAATACGCTCGTAAGTATGCAATGATATATTTATTCTATGCTCAAAAATAGTAAAATGAATCGAAATTGTGTATTTTTTTGTATTGCTGTAGTTGATTGTGAATATTGTTGTTTTTTTTTTTGTTTCATTTCAAAATTTTGTTTAAACGCACATTTCGATTTGATTATAATGCAGGGGCCAACATTATAATCGAACAACGTTTAAAACTTTCTGACCCGAATCGTTTAAGTATCCTTCTCTTATTTGCTGGAATAATGCTAAACAAAGATAAAGAGAGAACTATATAGAAGTTTATATATATATATATATGTATATATATATATGTGTGTTAATTTGTGGTGTGTTAACATCCAGATGCTTGCTAATAAGACGTTTGATTAACCATTATATATACCATATTTAAATATATTTGAAAAAATTTAGCTCAACTTTAATACTTTACTAAATTTAAGAAACTTTTGAAAAGGGAGCACTTTCGTCTCAGGAAAATTGAAATATGAAAATGTGACTGCGAGAAAGTTGATGCAGTATTGTCTTTTTCGAGCAGAGAAAAGCGTATGGGTAACGGTAGTTAAATTAAATATAGTTTTTATTGCACATGATTTGTTACTTTTTTTTTTTTTTGTTTTTGGTTTCGAGTTGCAGTTTGATCAACAATGATTATACAGCTAAACGAATATGTATATATATGTGTTGTGAATGTTAACTTAGAATACTCATGAGTGCCTAACAATTAGTCAAAGATTTAACTAAGCAATAAATAAACAACTTAAGACAACACACAAAATTATTGCTTTTGCTTAGCATAACAATTATGAATACAAATGAAATGAAAACAAATGATGTCTTTTAAATAACAATTAATATCAACTGATGACACAACTCTCTGGGTGGTTCCATTAATCCGTTTACGGTGTATTATTTTGTTGTTGTTTCTATCAACTTTTAGCTAGCTGCTTATGGGCTCACAATGTATTCGGAATTCACGTAGGAGAAGCCAACAAATTCCGATTGATCCAGATTCATCATAAATACTTTATCCGTGGGCGTCAAGTCTGTTTTCTCTGATGTGAATTGCTTATCGAAATTGGACACATCCTTGCGGTGTTTCTAAAGAATTTCATTTTTGGAAATTGTGGTAAGTAATGCTTAAGACTGTGTTTTGCTTTGATTTACTTACAATTTTCGGCTTGAATGGGGGCTGCACCTCGCGATTCTCAATTTTCTCCCAGTCGATGCGCCGGAAAAATGGATGCAGACGCACATCCTCCTCACCAGTGTTGCCACAACCCAATCGTTTGCTGGGCTGCTTGGTCAAAAACTACAGCAATTGAGCAGCATATATTTATTAAATGGTCAATATCGGTTTCCCCGTAATTTTTATTTTTATTTTTTTGTGACTTACGCCCTTGCACGCCTCTTTGGCCTCCTTGCTGAGACTCTTGGGGTAGGATACATTGTGATCGGTTATCGCAGCAAACAGCTCCTCCTCATCCTCGCCATCGAACGGCGGCTGACCGACCAGCATCTCGTAGAGCAGCACTCCATAGGCCCACCAATCCACAGACTTGCAATACGGCTGATAGAGTATTATCTAAATAGTTGTACAAATTTAAAATGAGACTTCTTGCCTTAAATGAGATTAGTATTGGTCTAAAAATCACATTTAGAAATGGTTAATTTTTAAACTTTGTCAAAGACGATCGAATTTGCAAGAAAACCAGAGCTTTTTCACTTTGTTTGGCCTTTAGATTAAAACTACATTTGACCGCTAAATTAAAACTACTTTTTAAGTTGAAAACGCGATTTGACTTAATATTTAAGTTTAAATTATACTCTCAAAAGTGCTTCCAGGGAACGATTTAAACTTTTCAATGTCATGTCTTTGTCTTAACTCAACCGATTTTCAAATAACAGATCTCAATCCTGGTTTACCTCCAAAATAAATGTGGAAACGTGTTTCTGTCTCGATTCTTATGCTTAAACAATACTCCCAAAAAGTGATTTATTGGTATAGTTAAAATTTTAAAGGTTTGGGAACTCACCTCTGGCGCTATGTAGTCGGGTGTGCCACAGAATGTTTTGGTCGTCTTCTCGCCCACAATGTTCTCTTTGCACATGCCAAAATCAGCGATTTTCACATGTCCATCGGCATCCAGCAGGACATTGTCCAGCTTCAGATCGCGATACAAAATGCCCTTGGTGTGCAGAAAGAAGAGACCGGCTGCTATTTCTGCAGCATAGAAGCTAAGGCAGGCAAGAAGAGAGAGATAGAGGGAGTGTAAGAGAGAGAGAGAGAGAGAGAGAAATAGAGAGAGAGAGATAACTTACACGGCAACTGGCTCCTTGAACTTGCCAAATTGTTGTATTTGAAACATTAAATCGCCGCCGTTCACATACTCCATGACAAAAAACAGACGGTCCTGTTTGGGTTAAATATATAATATAATAATAATTTATAAATAAAGTGTAAGTAAAGTAGAAAGTATACGCACCAAGGTTTGGAAACAGGAATGCAGCTGGACAAGGAACGGTGGCTTCTCGCCCAGTGCCAGGACACGCTTCTCAATCATGGTGCACTCGACATCATCGTCCTGTATAATCACATCCTTCTTGAGAATCTTAATCGCATACAGCTCCTCGCTGCCCTTGCGCTCCGCCAACAACACCTGTTTCCAATAACGTTTAAGATATAATCTTTTATCAATTGTGTGTTTTGTTTCACCTTGCCAAAGGAGCCCTTGCCCAGCACTTTAATGAAATTGAAGTCTGTGGCTCGAATCATATCCTTTTTGGACTGTGAATGTGTGTGAGTGTCGCAGCGCATCATTGGCTGCTTCTTTTGTGAGGGCTTCTGCTTTAGTTTGAGCAAATCCTGCTGATCATCCGCACACGGTACATTATAATATTCACCCTCGTCCTGGGTGAGCAGCTTGAACCAACCATTTGTAGGATTCTTGATAATCTCCGATATGCCAAACGATAAAGCGCCCATGAAATCATTCCGCGAAGTGCGATCCCAATCCCAAACCTCAATCAATATGCGTCGATCCTTATCCTCTGGCTTCAGATCGCTGCATAAATATATGTTAATATTAATAAATATATACATAATAAATAAGTTATGTATTTAATCTCACTAGCTAAGTGTCTCGTTCCACATGGGATTCAGGCACGCCTTAATGGTGCGCGTCTTCTTCTTGGACTGATCCTTGTCATCGGGTATCAGTTTGACCTTCACATACGGATCGCTCAAGCCATTGGGATCCATGGGAATTAAATTGCGACCCTCTTTGACTGCCATTAAGAAATTGTATTAAATAAGTCAAGACATTGTTCTAGCCATTGTTGTAAGCATTTTCTCTGTGGCATTCCTCCTCATACTACTTTTTCTACTTCCCCTGCTGGCTTTGCATATCTTTATCAGGCTATTGTTTAGCAAACTGCATTTTTAGTATTCATTATGTGGCATATTGTGTGGCGACTTGGCTTCATAATGAATTAATGCAAATCATAAGCAATTTGCCAGCATCCCTCAACTGTGGGGGACGGACAGGAGCCGCTGCCCCAAGGCAATGACAACGCTTGAATTTTAAATTCGTTCTGGGAATTTATGGCATTTATAGAATTTAAAGTATGCGACATTTTTTGGAAATAAATTTAAAATATTAACAAAACTGAAAACATATAATATCATTTTTTGTGTAATTTTATCGGCGAATTCAGACTTGATTTGAAATATATGGGTGTATAAGAGAAACCAGCGAAGACATATTTACATATACAAGTATAAAAAAAGGTCTCCCAACTATAAACAAGAATTTTAATAAAAGTCAGAGCTGTAGAAATCGTAATAATAATAATAATTGTGTCGGGACTCTAAATCTCAAAGCTAAGTCAGACCTAAAATATAATTGGTCCCAAGTTTTGGGAAGAAGGAGAAACTTAAAAATCGAAACAACCACATAAAAAAGAACCAGAAACTTTCCCAGCTGCTTTGCATAATATAATTTTTTTTTATTCCATTTTTGTTTTGATCTGGGCGTTTGTAAACTTGGCAGGCTTATGGGTAACTTGGCGTGGATCCATAATTGGTTAAAAGCATAAGCGCTTTACAAGCTGTAAGTTGTTGGTGACAACTTGAGGGCCAACCGGAGGCGTATACTTACTGTGAACGGTGAGTAGATTCTCTTTGACATTTATCTCGAGATAGATGCGTCCACGTCGCTCCGTGTGATCGCAGCCGCACAAACTGGGCACGTTCTCCTTGCATCGGGCATGAACGTTCATATCGCATGCTAAAGCAATAGAATACACATCCAGCATGATGAGCAGGTTATAGGTCACGTAGTGGAATAAAGATAAGTCGCTTGTTAGTGGCCACTTGGCAAAACATATTGAAATAGATGGTCAGCTCGGTCAGGAGAAAGTTTCAGAATAGATTGAAAGTGATTTCGTTTTTCTTTTTTTTTTTGTATCTCTTGCAGGTTTGCGGTACAGGAATATATAGCAACAGGAGGCAGACACACAAACACACGCACATACGCACATACGCACACACAAATAGACAGGACACGCATACAAAGTGAGTTTTGATATGGGCTCAAGTACTTACCCCACAGACTCCATGTGCAAATAAATGACAAATTGAGAGAGAAAACTAAAAAAAAATAATGGTCTCGTAGGCAAAGCAGCTGCGCCCAGTTATCAATCAGTGTGGCAATCCAATAAAAAAAAAACTCATCTACCGTGCCACGCCCATAAGCCCACAATGCTCAGTAGATACAAAATCAACGCCAATTTGTGAGTTCGACTGCAATCGCAATCAATTTGGCAAACAGCAATGGTGTATGAAGGAATAAAAAAAACGGTTGCATAGTTTGTGGCGCGCACATATCGCTCAAGTTGCAAGGATGTGAGTGAAGAGCCCGAAGAGGATGCCAGATGATGCCAGAGCCAAAGCCGACCAGAAGCAGCACCCGAGTTGTGCTGGGTTGTGCATAGTACTCGAATAGCATTCAATTGGAAATAATTGCAAATGGATTTGTAATTCATTTTGGTTGGTAAAATCAACTCGTCAAAGTTGTCAATTTGTAAATGTGATTTTAAATACAATGCAAATATGGGGCTGTGGGGCGGATGCAAGTTTACCCCAGTGGCAGAAACTTTTAAAAGACTGTTTGAAATGACAATAAGGATTTTAAATAGCCTGCAATATTTGTTGCTAAAGGAATAAGGATATAGTTAGTCTATGCTGTTTTATAACATTTTCATAAAAATATTTCATAATACAAACATTGAATGTACAATATTTTTAAGGAGGATTCGATGCAGTTTACATTTTAAAAACTGCAAAATGGAACTGCTGTATAAAGTTTTTATAATAATATTATAACTTATGTAAAAGGATTTATTTATTGAAACCAGAAATGCTTCAAAATTGCGTTATTCGATTTAAATAATCTTGCAATATTTTGAAAATATTCCAACATTTGGGTTGTTCTTTAGTTCAACAGTTTGCCCTTATTCTTTATACTTTTTAATAATGATAAGAGTACAGCTACCGGTCATTATGATAAGCAGGTTCATCAGCATATAAAAACTTATATCCTTATGGTTGTCATCCTTTTTGGTCCTTGGGGCGCTGCATCATTGGCTGTTGGTCTCTTTTCTGTTGTTGTTGTTTTTGTTGTCGATGCTTGCTTTTTTTTCGTTTCCTTTTTCTTTTGCCGCTTTGGTCATGTGTAAAATTACTTTGGGCATTTCATCCGCTTACACCCGCTGCGAAAAGTATGCGCCATTGGGCGCCTGCATCAACGTCATTTGGCGCGTGAGGCGCACGTGGCGTATAAGTATTTTTTTCTTTGTTTTTTATTCTTTTTACTGCTCTTTCTGCTCCCTTTTGGAAACTTTCGCTTGTTGCTCGGGCCGCATGGAAAGTAATCATTTTTTGATGGCAATGTGCTGGGTGGGCGGTTGGCTGTTGGCTGTGGGTGTGGCAGGCGGCTGGTCAGTTGGGCAGTGTTTAATGAAAATATGAAAGAGTTTTTTGTTTCGCAGCACACAGCATTAAAAAAACAAAAACAATACGGCAAAAAGGCAAACAAATAACAGAACAAATAACACAAAAATAAAAAAAAATGGGTTTCCCTTTGCGTGCCACAAAAAAACATCAACAATAACAGTACTAGCGTAAGGTGTGTGTATGTGTGTGTGAGTGTGTGTGTGTGTGTGTGTTCATAATGTGCCCCAGTTTTGTGTGTGATGTTTTTTGCGTAAAATTATTTATTTATTTTTGTAGCTACGTATGCAGGCTCATGTATACATATATATATACTTAATATGCCCTATGGGCCCAAAGGGATAGGCTGAATATGCAATATGTAATAGGTTGATGTAAATAATGATAATATATTTATGAAGAAGCCTTATTTTAAACATATGATCAACATATATCATTCTCAATCTCAAACAAAAAATTGACTTTGCAACGGTTTCATTATGGATTGATCGCTAGACTAAGAATGCATATTTAGAAATTTATGTTAAATTTATACTAACAAAATAGGTCTTTGGGAATTATTCAATGCAATAACATAATAATAACAATGCCATTATCATAAGCCCGGGCTTTTTAAACTTAGTTTGAACTCTGGATTAAAACAATATTCAAATATGAAAATACAAATCTGTCCCAAAATTCATGTTCACATTCTTTTCCAAAAAAGTGCTTGTGGCATCTGCTTACATTTTTACATTTCAAAACTCAACCGATTTACAAGAACAACACCTTTTTTGATTATGGTTTCACCTAAAGAATAATGCCAGATATTAATTGGAAATGTGATCATCCACTTATATGCCTGATTGATTTAGTTTATTAGTAAGAACAATTTTATGAATATTCAGTGTTGTAAATGTTGGAAAAAATACTCAGTAATGCAAACGACGAACAAATCATGCGAAAACTAAAATCACAAAACACACTATTGCAATAGAGTTACAAACGATATTGAACTGTTGAAATAACACACATATAACACACACAGACAACTGGCGCTCGATAATGACTATCACATGTTTACGCACACACACTCGCGCACACACATACACACAGGCATTTCCGGCGATGGCTGCGGCTTATTGTTGTCGAGGATTTAACTATTGCCACATTTACATTTCCATTCTCATTCGCAATCTGTTTGTTTGGGCCTGTTTCCACTATATCTGTGTGTGTTTGTGTGTGTAGAATGGCCTGTTTATCTATTGTTGCTAAATGTTGTTGTCGTTTTTGTTGTTGTTGCTGTTGTAGTTGTTTGCCCGGAACGGGGCAATGAGGCGTAAGTAAATTATTTGTTTGCCAAGGGGCCATGCCGGATATTAAGGCGGCAATTTGTGCCGTCCAACAAATGACTTGGAAAATTTTTGCGCAGTTTTCTTCTTATTTATAATTTTATTTATCTTTTTTGGGGTAACCAATAAAATGCCTAGCAAAAATAAGTATGATGATTAAGATTCAAAGAGCATTTCAGACTCCGGGCGCTAATAAGCTGCCAGAAGAATTAACGCAATATTAATTTTCACATGCAGCCGCAAATTGTAGGAACAAATGTGCTTAACTAACTGTTGAGTGTATGCAAACAAACGGTATATGGCATATGGCATATGACGTGGGCGTGGGCGTAAGTGTGGGCGTGGCAAACGTAAATTTCTCAACAACAACAACAAGCGCAATGGGGACAATAACAATAACATCAACAGCAACTCAAGTGCGCTCCACACACACACACAAACACATACATGTACATATATAGAGAGTGTGTGGCAAGTGTGCACTTGAGTCGCAACAAAGCGCTCCTAATTGTAAATTGCAGCAATCCAAAAAGTGAGAGCTGAGCCAGCACCAGCAGCAGGCCCGAAGTTATTTTCTTAGATGCTAAAAAAAGATGTCATCAGAGATGTGCGCGTGACACGACAAAGAAAACATGAAAAGTAACAAAACAACGTTATGCAAGTTTAAGTGTTCTAGTCGCGAGAGCTCGACTAGGAGATACCCTGAAGCCAAAGCTGGTAAATAGAATGTAGGATTGTTGATAACTTTTGGTTAACAAAATCTGCTTTTAATCAGATATTTACATAATATATTAATTAATTACCTTTAAAATTGTATCTTTTATTGTTATCGGAAATCGATTTGTATCTTTATTCGCAGAAACTATCGCATTTATCGATGAAGTGAAATAAGCTTTATCTGCCTCAACGAATTTGGTTTCTGATTTTGAATCTGGTTCGCAAACTTCCCAAACTTTTTTATTATATTCAGTGTGAAAACTCTAATTAAGTAAAATAATACTAATTACGATATCTGAGTTTTATGAATATTTTACATATATGTTCTGATTCCAATTCGGATTCTGAATTTCAAACGGTAAATATAAACATTTCGATATTCCAAATTTGAAGTGTTAACTCCAATAGTCTCTTGTTCATTTAGACATACAAACGGACATGGCTAACTCGGCTTGACTGTTCATGCTGATCAAGAATATATATAAACTTTATGGAATCGAAAATGCTTGCTTCTGCCTGATACATACTTTTTAAACAACTGCATTGGGCCCTTTTACATTATGTTTGAAGTGTTTAAGGTATACAAATAAATAAGCGTGACAGACGCACATCTCTAAAAGACAAGACACACACAAAAGCTGACCAGGAACCAGAGAGAGAGCGAGAGAAATCAGTAGGGTAAGTCATCACATCTCTCTCTATCTCTCTGTCTCTCTGGGCATTCAGTTGGACATTACCTCGACACTTGAGACCCTTGTGGGTGATACCATGCAACAGCGAGCCGCAATGATCGCAAAACATCGGCGAGAGGAAGGCAACGTTGTGCCATTTGTGTGGCATCTGGTGTGCCTGAGAATTGGAACAGTTGGAGAGAGCTAATGGAAAATGAACGCAGGTTTTTCGCTATAAACGCAACGTTCAACATTTAATACCAAAAGCATTTGCATTAATAACAATCAAAAACCAATCAACGCACAAACAAATAAAACTTACAGCCAAAACTTAAAAAAAAAAACAGAAATACGTTTGGATGAGGAATAGAATTCAAAATGCAACAATTATTAAAACATACAGATATAGATGGATTAGGTGGACAGTTGTGGGAGTTGTGCGGATGGTTATGGATTATGTATGGATTATATATGGATACTTGGTTCTTGGGGTTCTGGGTACAGTGCTTTTGGAACTACAAGCTCAAATTAGCTCAACAAAAATATGAGTTCTTAAG